CTTTAGCTGTGGTCATATTACTTTATCTGATATCTTATTACTTTAGCCGTGGTCTTATTACTTTAGCTGAGATCTTTTTACTTTAGCTGAGATCTTTTTACTTTAGCTGAGATCTTATTACTTTAGCTGCGATATTATTAATTTAGCTGTGGTCTTATTACTTTAGCTGAGATCTTTTTACTTTAGCTGAGATCTTTTTACTTTAGCTGAGATCTTATTACTTTAGCTGGGGTCATATTACTTTAGCATAGATCTTATTACTTTAGCTGTGGTCATATTACTTCAGCTGAGATCTTATTACTTTGGCTGTGGTAATATTACTTTAGCTGAAAATTTATTATTTTAGCTGAGATCTTATTACTTTAGCTGTGGTTATATTACTTTAGCTGAGATCTTATTGCTTTGGCTGTGGTAATATTCCTTTAGCTGAGATCTTATTACTTTAGCTGAGATCTTTTTACTTTAGCTGTGGTCTTATTACTTTAGCTGAGATCTTTTTACTTTGGCTGTGGTCATATTACTTAAGCTGAGATCTTATTACTTTAGCCGTGGTCTTATTTCTTTAGCTGTGGTCTTATTACTTTAGCCGTTGTCTTAATTACTATAGCTGTGATCTTATTACTTTAGCTGAGATCTTATTATTTTAGCTGTGGTCTTATTACTTTAGCTGAGATCTTTTTACTTTGGCTGTGGTCATATTACTTAAGCTGAGATCTTATTACTTTAGCCGTGGTCTTATTTCTTTAGCTGTGGTCTTATTACTTTAGCCGTGATCTTAATAACTATAGCTGTGATCTTATTACTTTAGCTGAGATCTTATTATTTTAGCTATGGTCATATAACTTTAGCTAGGATCTTATTACTTTAGCCGTGGTCTTATTTCTTTAGCCGTGGTCTTTTTACTTTAGCCGTGGTCTTAATTACTATAGCTGTGATAGTATTGTGTCCGTGGTCTTCTGACTTTAGCCGTGGTCGTAAGTCCTTTAGCTGTGATCTTATAACTTTCGCTGAAATCTTATTACTTTAGCTGTGGTCTTATTACTTTAGCTGAGATCTTCTAAGATCTTATTACTTTAGCCGTGGTTATATTCCTTTAGCTGAGATCTTATTACTTTAGCTGAGATCTTTTTACTTTAGCTGTGGTCTTATTACTTTAGCTGAGATCTTTTTACTTTAGCTGTGGTCTTATTACTTTAGCTGAGATCTTTTTACTTTAGCTGTGGTCATATTACTTTAGCATAGATCTTATTACTTTAGCTGTGGTCATATTACTTCAGCTGAGATCTTATTACTTTGGCTGTGGTAATATAACTTTAGCTGAAAATTTATTATTTTAGTTGAGATCTTATTACTTTAGCTGTGGTCTTATTACTTTAGCTGAGATCTTATTACTTTAGCTGTGGTCTTATTACTTTAGCTGAGATCTTATTTCTTTGGCTGTGGTTATATTACTTTAGCTAAGATCTTATTACTTTAGCTGTGGTCTTATTACTTTAGCTGAGATCTTATTACTTTAGCTGTGGTTATATTACTTTAGCTGAGATCTTATTGCTTTGGCTGTGGTAATATTACTTTAGCTGAGACCTTATTACTTTAGCTGAGATCTTATTACTTTAGCCGTGGTCTTATTTCTTTAGCCGTGGCCTTATTACTTTAGCTGTGGTCTTATTACTTTAGCTGAGATCTTTTTACTTTAGCTGTGGTCATATTACTTAAGCTGAGATCTTATTACTTTAGCCGTGGTCTTATTTCTTTAGCCGTGGTCTTATTACTTTAGCCGTGGTCTTAATTACTATAGCTGTGATCTTATTACTTTAGCTGAGATCTTATTACTTTAGCTGAGATCTTATTACTTTAGCTGTGGTCATATTACTTTAGCATAGATCTTATTACTTTAACTGTGTTCTTATTACTTTAGCTGTGGTCTTATTACTTTAGCTGTGGTCTTATTACTTTAGCTGAAAATTTATTATTTTAGCTGAGATCTTATTACTTTAGCTGTGGTCTTATTCCTTTAGCTGAGATCTTATTACTTCAGCTGTGGTCATATTACTTTAGCTGAGATCTAATTACTTTGGCTGTGGTTATATTACTTTAGCTAAGATCTTATTACTTTAGCTGTGGTCTTATTACTTCAGCTGAGATCTTATTACTTTAGCTAAGATCTTATTACTTTGGCTGTGGTTATATTACTTTAGCTGAGATCTTATTACTTTAGCTGTGGTCTTATTACTATAGCTGAGATCTTATTACTTCAGCTGTGGTCATATTACTTTAGCTGAGATCTTATTACTTTGGTTGTGGATATATTACTTTAGCTAAGATCTTATTACTTTAGCCGTGGTCTTATTACTTTAGCTGTGGTCTTATTACTTTAGCCGGGGTCTTATTTTTTAGCTGAGATCTTTTTACTTTAGCTGTGGTCATATTACTTTAGCTGATATCTTATTACTTTAGCCGTGGTCTTATTACTTTAGCTGAGATCTTATTTCTTTAGCTGTGGTCTTATTACTTTAGCTGAGATCTTATTACTTTAGCTGTGGTCATATTACTTTAGCTGATATCTTATTACGTTAGCCGTGGTCTTATTACTTTAGCTGAGATCTTATTTCTTTAGCCGTGGTCTTATTTCTTTAGCCGTGGTCTTCTTACTTTAGCCGTGGTCGTAATTACTTTAGGTGTGATCTTATTACTTTAGCTGAAATCTTACTTTAGCTGTGGTCTTATTACTTTAGCTGAGATCTTATTACTTTAGCTGTGGTCATATTACTTTAGCTGAGATCTTATTACTTTAGCCGAGATCTTATTACTTTAGCCGTGGTCTTATTTCTTTAGCCGTGGTCTTCTTACTTTAGCCGTGGTCGTAATTACATTAGGTGTGATCTTATTACTTTAGCTGAAATCTTACTTTAGCTGTGGTCTTATTACTTTAGCTGAGATCTTATTACTTTAGCTGTGGTCATATTACTTTAGCTGAGATCTTATTACTTTAGCTGAGATATTATTTCTTTAGCTTTGATCTTATTTCTTTAGCTTTGATCTTATTACTTTAGCTGTGGTATATTTGCAATAACTGTCTCTATATTACATTTGTTGTAGTATGTTTTAGCTGTAGTGTCACGATTGAAGCCATACTATAGCTGACGACGTAAGACCTAAAGCGCTGACATAATAGTACCTAATCCGTCGTCCTATGGCCTACACTGTTGTTTTATTGCTATATTTGTCGTTCTATTTTCATACTTGTCGTCATTTGGCCGTAGATGGCTAGTAAGTAGTAACATTACAAGCAAACTTCTTGTTAATTAGCAGACTGTTTGTCAAGTTATTATCACACCATCATCATTTTTTATCGATTTTTAGACGACGAAATTTTACTCAACTATTTGTAGTGTACTGCGTGCTATTCTCATTAACCGTATAAGCCAATATTTCTAACCACATGTCTACGAAACTATTTAATACTGAACAAACCAATTAAGATGGCGTTGATATTATTAGAGAAAAAAATACAATATATTTACGAATTATTTCTCACTCACAAGGGTTTCTGACATTTCTAGTCGTTTGATCACGTCTTTAACTATGAGGAATGATAATTAAAGGCTAGTGCGTGTCTTCCTTGGCAGAATCAATAAATGTAGGAATAACGGAGAGATTATGCACACTATGGGTTACCGCTGAGGTGGAAACGTTGAGCAAGAAAATTCTACTCACAGAATGCGTAATGCACCTGTTAAACTTAGCGGATTTATACCAAGCGGTTACACCGGAATATTCAATAATGTAAACAGGTGTGTTCGTGTCCTACTTATAATTGGTACGTTTTCTTAAAGGTAATTTGTTGACATAACCATTTTGGGTGGAAGGGGAATCAATTATTCTGGAAAATGTCAGCCCTTAGTTTATTCTTTCCACCTCAATTCAATTACTGTTTTGTAAGTCAGAACATTGTGATTATTCTGAATGCTTCCTCTCTAAATTTGAAATCAATCAGTACTCCTCTAAATTTTGAATTCATAAATTAAGGGTTTTATGCAACCGCCACTCTGTGTGAACAGTAATTAAGACATTTCTAAACATGTTCTTCAGGTTGGTAAGTATGGATTATGAGAAGTTCTTTTTACACAACCAATAAAATGTTCTATGTGACGTGTCGATGACTAGTACGATAAGTACACTGTCACCTTCATCAGACAAATGACCAATGAAGCGTATGCACACAAAGGTGTAAAATGGGTACGAGTTTTATGGACATTTGTCTGATGAAGGTGACAGTGTACATATCGTACTAGTCATCGAAACGTCACATAGAACATTTTATTGGTTGTGTAAAAAGGACTTTTCAAAACAAGTAAGTAAGACAGTTTGTATTCCCAATCTTTTGGTCCCAGCGTTACCGTTGAGTCCTAGACAGACAAAACAGATGTATAATGAAGTGTATTTTAGTTTTGGCTTTCTGAGTCCTTTGCTAAATGTCATAGGTGTTCCATGTACATGTACGTTCATTTTTCTCAAATTGAAATTGATACCCTAAAGTTTCTATAATAAAACGCATCTTATTTTCAATTGCAGTATAGTGTCCTAGGCGTTTGTTTACTATAACTATTATGTTTTTTTGTTTTTTTTTTGTACTAATTTGTGAAGTCAGCTTATTTTCAAGGCGATTTTAATATCAAAGACATTTTGACAGTGAGCCATTAATGGCTATTTTTTTTTACCCAATTATTGAAATAATTATAGTATGAGCTGGGACAATGGTTCCTACCTAAAATCCAACGCATGTCCTTATGACCGGGCTATTTTCAAAGATGGTTTATATTCGAGATATGTTTAGCTAGCCGGCCTATTTTCAATTAAGGCTAATTATCGAGATTCTTTAGTATTGATAAACTAGATCACATTTACATAACGTGATATTGAAACATCTTGTTGTAGCATGGTATTTAAGAAGAAGGATGATTAAGTTTATCTAACAAAAGTGTTTTCTTCACTTCAAGCGGAAATGCACATCCCACGTGGAAGTCGTGTGAACATGTTTGACCTCTACAACATGAACGGTGTAGAGTGTAGCGTTTCCGGGTCGGGATTGTTTCGAAGCAAGGACATTGATATCAAAAGAAGACCAGAATGTCCAAACCAGGTAAGCAAAAACAAAACGGTGGCTTGTTGAAGATTTTATTTTTCATTCTATATGCAATCACATGCGCGCGTGTCTCACGCGCATTCTTTAAAAAACATGTCATGTCATGTAAAACAACGAGAATATAAATTAAACGAAAACCAGACGAAAAAACGTTTCAAAACAATCTGATGGATTAAATGTGTTATTTCCGTAGGTTTGGATATATTTTGATAATTGGGAATGGCAAATCCGATATGATCCTTCCTCTGAATCAGCAACTTTGAAATCCTGGATGAAGGAGACACCCACTCACTATTACCCGAAAGACGGTCCTGGGAATGTTACCGTGGATACGGGGTATGTGTCGAATGTGTTTCACCTTATTTCAAATCAATTTTATAGTATTTATATACAATTGGATTAGGCAAAGGCATCGCCTATTCAAGCCTTTGTTAGAATGGAAAACATACATTTCAGACATGTACATACACATAAACACACACTTAGATATAGTACATACGGAACATGTTTATAGGAGATATAATAAATTATATGTGTACACAGATAAATAGAAGAAAACTAGAACCAATTTGCAAGAATAAAGTTCCTTATAAACAGACATTAATAATTAGAACACCGGATAATTTAATAGATTGAATCTAGTGCTATGTTGGAAACACATCAAAATTCCCTGTCAATACACACAGTGCCATTCTAACCAATTACACCAGATTAGAAGGATTGATATATCTACCTGGTTCTACATGTACCTGGTTCTACATGTACCTGGTTCTATATCTACCTGGTTCTACATGTACCTGGTTCTATATCTACCTAGTTCTACATGTACCTGGTTCTACATGGTTCTACATGTACCTGGTTCTACATGTACCTGGTTCTACCTGGTTCTACCTGGTTCTACATCTACCTGGTTCTACATGTACCTGGTTCTATATCTACCTGGTTCTACATGTACCTGGTAACTTGGTTCTATATCTACCTGGTTCTACCTGGTTCTACCTGGTTTCGGTCTGTAAATACACGTTTCCGTGTCTTGACCACCTAAATGTTTATTATTATTATTGTTACACTTTCTAATATTTCTTTTCTTCATTGATTACGTACATAGGTTAGGTTGTGGTCTCCGGAGATAAAACTATTTACACCGAGCTCCTCTGGAGGAACTGTAGTGTTTTTTCCTTTTCTCATGTTGGAATGTATGCCTTGGAGTTTGCTATTTATAGTATTAAGATATGTTCACCACATTTGTTTACCACTTGTACACGTTTTCTCTTATGCTATCAGTTGGTTGTTGTTGTTTACTTTTTGTCCTTTACCAACGTGTTTGCTGTCACTGATCAGGTTGAAGTATACATACACGTCGGGTTAAACTGGTAAGTCTTTCCAATGTCTGTTCAACCTACTTTTGAATTGATTGACAGTTTCACTGTTCTCCTGGTAGACTGTTCTAATTGTTGATTATTCTCATGTTGAAGCAGTTGGTTAGAATGTTTAGTCTACTTTGTGGGTTTTTTTATTTTGTAGTCATGTCCCCTTGTTCTGAGACCAGTTTCCATATTGAAAAAAAATCATCCTTTTCAGATTTGTCTATGCCTTTCAATATTCGGAAAGTTCGGTATCATATCTGCTCTTTTTCTCCGATATTGTAAGGATGGAATTCCAATATATTTCAATCTTTCTGGATATGACAGGTGTGTTAGTCCTTGTTCTAGTTTGGTTGATACATTGGGTTCCACACACTCACTGCGTATTCCATATGTGGTCGGGTTAATGGTTTATCCAGAGGGAGGAACATGTCTTTATCCATCTGTTTGAATGTTCTTTTGAGCAGTCCCGTTAATCTATTTGCTTTCTTGACAGAATTTCCAGCATGTTTACTGAAATGAGATCTTTTTCTTCATCCGCTTGCGATATTTCTTCTCCTTTTAATTCCGTTTCTGTCTTCTGCTGTGCCACTGTTGTTGAACATTTTACTGTCATCTGCAAAAAGTTTGATTAGTGCATGTATTGCATCTGGGAGATCGTTGTTGTATGCTGGAAATATTACTGGTCCCAGCACGCTCTTTTGTGGGACCCCGTTTGTTACTTCTGTCCAGGATGACGTTTGATAACAACTCTTTGAATTCTGTTATGAAAGCAGATATTGATCCACTTTAATCTTATCGAAACGAAATCATTTATAATACAGTATAGGTAAAAAATCTTCCAGAATATTCAATAAATTCCAGGACACATGAGTGAATAAACTGATTTGCTTCAATGCTAAGGCTTGTGTCTCCCTTAGTATCGAATGTGTGACTCGATCGAGATTACAACTCTCTTATTTAAGCCCCTAAATGATTTATTGAACATATGTGTATCAAAGCATTCTGTTGTTTTATAAAGTTTAACTCAAACCGATAACATATGCAGTTTTTAGTTAACAACTCGAACAGTGATGAAACAGAGACATAAAATAGTATATACGTCTCTGGAAGCACAAGTCCGAAATTTCGTTTCAGTAACGCTAAATGTGGCAATTAAAGTCAACCTAATTTCGATACATTTACTCAATTTAATTTACACAAACATACACATAAATCTGTATATCAAAGCGATGCCTTACGGGGATGGGAGATGTCAGGAATTATAGATACAATATGATTATTGATTATCACTTTTGCTGCCCGGACAGACACGTGTATGTTGTCTTCATGTTGGAGTACCCAGAGAAACCCATATTACCGAGCAGGTGACCCAATATCTTTTAATGACCAATCTTGAAAATTAACCTCGTTTTAAAAGCAAATTCATAAAACATTCCATAAAATATTGATGAAAGGTTTTTTACCTATTTAGTACAAAGCATCCGTAGGGGTTTGATATTTAGTACAAATCATTCCTAGGGATTTGATATTCTTTAACATAAAGTGTTGCCTTCCTGGTGCCAGATGAGCGGACAAATTATTGAGCACTGGCGACAAATCTTTCATGGACTATTCCTGAAGTCACGAAGCCTCCCTGAGCCACGAACATTTGTTATTGTATTCATGCAGTTTGATTGGCCACGGGGCCTCCTAGGTAAGGGGCTGAACAAACTGTATATGGTTGAAAGACAGTCTTCTCCTTTAAATACACATTCACTGAAGACTAGCACATTATAGAAAACAAGGATTAATATTGGAGCATGGCTCTTTAGTTTAACCGGTCGATGTTTACTGAAAACTGTGTCCTCGTAGCTTCGAACTAACGTGTTATTGTAATGTTCGCCTTTATCTTCATAAGACATCTTAGGTCTCAAACTGTCATGTTCAACTTGCCTCTCATATTTCTTTTCATCCTGGTGTGTTGATGCAATGCATATTCATTTATGTTTATGATTTCCCTGTGCCGCAGTGTTCCGGACTTCGACTTTGTCATGTACGACGACAGTACTAGTAACATTCGTGCGGCCGTCTACAATAAACGTGATGACGTCACAAGGCCTCGATTCTTCTACAGCAGAACCCCTCTGCCTAAATCCGCTTTACAAGGTTTGTTGTTACACTGAGCACGACCATTTACACTTAATTGTTTATCACAATGACCACGCCCATCAAAACTTAATTGTTTATCAAACTGACCACTCTCATTAATACTTTATTGTTTATCACACTGACTACCTTCATTAACGCTTCATTAACGCTTTATTGTTTATCACACTGACTACGTTCATCAACGCTTCATTAACGCTTTATTGTTTATCACATTAACCAAGCTCATTTACACTTTTTTGTTTATCAAACTGACCACGCTCATTAACACTTTATAGTTTATCACTCTCACCACGGTCATTAACGCTTTATAGTTTATCACTTTGACCACGCTCATTAACACTTTAATGTTCATCTCACTGACCACGCTCATTAACACTTTATTGTTTATCACACTGACCACGCTCATTAACGCTTTATTGTTTATCACACTGACCACGCTCATTTACACTCTATCGTTTATCATACTGACCACGCTCATTAACACTTCATTGTTTATCACACTGACCACTTTCATTAACGCTTTATTGTTTATCACACTGACAACGCTCATTTACACTCTATTGTTTATCATACTGACCACGCTCATTAACACTTTATTGTTTATCACACTGACCACGCTCATTAACACTTCATTGTTGATCACACTGACCACGTTCATAAACACTTTATTTTGTTTATCAAACTGACCACGCTCATTAACACCTTTTTGTTTATCACAATGATAAACAATAAAGCGTTAATGAGCGTAGTCAGTATGATAAATGATAGAGTGTAAATCAGCGTGGTCAGTGTGATAAACAATAAAGCGTTAATGAGCGTGGTCAGTGTGATAAACAATAAAGTGTTAATGAGCGTGGTCAGTGTGATAAACAATGAAGTGCAAATGAGCGTGGTCAGTGTTATAAACAAAAAGGTGTTAATGAGCGTGGTCAGTTTGATAAACAAAATAAAGTGTTTATGACTCATTAACACTTTATTGTTTATCACGCTGACCACGCTCATTTGCACTTCATTGTTTATCACACTGACCACGCTCATTAACACTTTATTGTTTATCACACTGACCACGTTCATTAACACTTTATTGTTTATCACACTTATTACGTTCATTAGCACTTTATTGTTTATCACACTGACCACGCTCATTTACACTTTATTGTTTATCACACTGACCACGCTCATTTACACTTTATTGTTTATCACACAGACCACGCCTCATTAACACTTTATTGTTTATCACACTGACCACGCTCATTTATACCATATTGTTAATCACACTCAGAATCATTGTGTTGAGACTATTGAACTTTCAACATGGCATAAAAGAACTCTTAAATTAAAAAGATAATAACATCATTCTTTATGACTGATTGATTGAAAAATGGTAAATGTATTAAATGTTCATATCTTTGGGAATGTTTCTTCCACAAACACAATAATCATCCTCAAATGTGTACCAGACAGGATAATTTAAAGCTATTTAAAAGGACGAAATTGTACTAGATGTCCTTTTATACAACTGTATTTTGCATATGTAATAAATAATTATGCTTCACTAAGGCTTACAAAATTCAAATGCGCGGGCGGTGACCCATGAAGAATGTTCATATTATTATCATATTCCTTAGCTGTTACACTCACCCCATCCCACCCCCTACTCCATATGGCAAAACTAAGAGTTATAACGAACCACACCTTCATCTGAAGGATCAAGGTAATTTCCAGACTGAATAGTTCAAATGACCTCTATTGCTCCATATCTGTGTCATGTGTTTTGTCATTCCGTTTCTTTTCAAGGTTTAGAGCATTGCAATGAACATTTTATTGGAATTCTAAACTTAATTATTTTCAAAAATTGAAAATTTATTGTAAAACGGTTGATTCCGCAGATTACGGTTAATTGCAGCCCGAATTCCAACAAAAGTTCTATTTCTGTAACACTAGTCACCCATTTTCTGACTTTAGCATAACGTAACCAAAAAATAATTGTCCGGGTTTTCAGGAGAGGTTTCTTTAAATTTTATGTCACAATTTCTGCTGGAAAACCATCCTAAAAAATGTTTGAAATCACTTTTGAAGTTCCTACATTCTTTCTAACCAAAATATTTGACTAAATTTGTTTAATTGTCTCTAACTCAGGTATGTAATTTTGTAGTTTAGTCGCACTTTGTCTATAAGTGCCATCAGTGGTCCCCACACTGACCTAGATTTCTCGAAAATACCCAAAGCATCTATCTGTCAGTTGTTTTAGCTTAGACGAGTTGGTTTATCATTGTCATATCTTGCTAATATTAATTTTACTTAATTTGAAAGAGTTAAATATTGATGTACCACTGCTAATTTATTCCCGAATTAAAAAGAAATAGCTTGCCTTGACATAAAGTCCTCTAGCTTCGAATTCAGCCTAGTAGAGTTAGTATGTACACTCCTGAATCCGAAATACTTCGTTATTTTTGTGACAATATGAAATTGCAGACAATTATCAATACAATGTATGTCGCTTTATGATCAAACATGTTTAAGCCAACATTATAACCCTGTGTCAATTAATTGCTAGTATTGCATATTAAATGCTTTACCAGTTATATTATAATACCCCGTGCAACAAAGCTATTCTGTCCGTCTGTCTGTCCGTAGAAAAAGTTTGTCCGGACAACTCCTTCTTACGTAATGGATCAGTTTCAACGAAACTGTATAGATATGATAACTACCACCTGAAGTTGAGCATCAAGGATTCTTTTTTTCATCCTCACCCTTTTTTAACAAATATATTGCCTTTATTGAAAAATGCTTGCCCGTACAACTTCTCCCAAACTACTGGACCAATTTCAATGGAAGTGGTGAGATATGATAACAACCCCCTGATGTTGTACATCCAGGTATTTTTTTCCCAATCCTTTGTTATGGAAGTATGGCCTTTTGTTGACAAATTCTTGTTCTGACAACTTCTCATCTAATGGGCCAATTTCAAAGCAAGTTTACAGTTTATGGTAACTACCTACCCTTTCGAAGGATTTATGGCCCTTTGTTAAAACATTTTGCCCCGACAACTCTTCCTTAAATACTAGGACGACTTAAGCAAAACTGGTTTATCTGGGCTAACAAGATTTTGGTTTGAAAGTATGTTTTGGCATTTGGACGGAGTACAGGAAATATGTCAGTGACCTATATACTTAAATACGTGTACAGCTCAGTCAATAAAGAAATCATAACTGGTGGGAGACTATGTATTGCTTTGCAATGCTTTTCCTTAGTTAGCTGTTTGCTTACATTTCTGGTTTATATAGGAGCGGGGGTAATAGTTAGCCTTTGACCTCCAGTTCTATTCGATCTTGCCATCGCAGAAAAGGAATATATCAAAAATTATTATTGAAATATTAAAAAAAGGAGCAAGAAGAAAAGTCAACAACAAATCGATAAGTTACAACTATTTTATCAATGTATCGGTATCGATGCTGAAACTTTGGGCATTTGGACCTTCACCGATGTTTTGAAATGGTGAAGTCTTGCTGACTTCAGTCGCGGCATCTGTGTCGTCTGTTGGGGCAGTGGTGCTGTCAGATTCGTGCAGTATCGGCAGTGGTTCAGCTTTAGACCTATCATAGCAGCTGAATCTGTGCGTGTAGCGAATTACCGCATTCGCTACTCAAATCACATTCACTCTCGTTGTCCTTCCAATCGAGATCAAAGTTAGCCGCCATTGTAAACAAAAACAACACCAACGCGTAGAAATATACAACTTTTCTGAGGCGGTCTAAATAAATTTTCTGATAGTTTTATCGTGAGTATGCTGTCGCCATATTTCTATTTTGACCAATCAAAAAGTGTGTTACAAACAGAATGAATTAGAATTTTCAATTAAACTGCCATCTTTTAAATGAAGGGATTAGGTCATGAGGACAAAGCCTAGCCCGTGAAAACTTTAACCGAATAGCAAAAACAAAACAACAAAACCAAACATTATCATATGTTTTAGTGTGTTTAATATCTTCTCTGACATGACCGACATAACTTGGCAAAATTACTATGCTAGGACAACATAACATAAGTTGTTTTTCTTTTTCATATTTTTCGTCAATATGACAAAATGAACATATTTTAAATGACCATTTCTGTTTATATTTCAGATAGTCTTACTAATACAACAGCAGCTACTTTTGAAGAAGCAGACATGATGAAGATTCGACTCGTTTTCAGTACGACAAACATACTGTATCTTATATTTCAATATGAATTTAAAATTAGCAGTAGATAAGTTGGACATTTGAAAGGAGGAATGAAAGTGGAATTTTGTTTTGGCATATTTAAATAAGACGACGAATAAACAAAATCAACAAAAATGTAATATTCCAGACTTAAGAAAAGAATAAACATAACAAATGTTGACTCTCCAAATCTTTTTTTTAACGGACATGAAAGCAATGGGTGTCCTAAAATCATAAAACATAAGATTTCTTGTTCACAGATGTGCTTTTCAGAATATCGTTCTAAGAAATCTCGAATTTGCAGGGACACTTTTGTAAGAATTTATTAGATTTAAGATCTGAAGAGTAACATTGTAGATGTAAAGGGCAAATCTGTAGATCTGAAAGGTGATATTGTAAATCTGAAAGGTGATATTGTAGATCCGAAAGGTGATATTGTGGATCTGAAGGTGATATTGTAGGTCTGAAAGGTGATATTGTAGATCCGAAAGGTGATATTGTAGGTCTGAAAGGTGATATTGTAGGTCTGAAAGGTGATATTGTAGATCTGAAAGGTGATATTGTAGGTCTGAAAGGTGATATTGTAGGTCTGAAAGGTGATATTGTAGATCTGAAAGGTGATATTGTAGATCTGAAAAGTGATATTGTAGGTCTGAAAGGTGATATTGTAGATCTGAAAGGTGATATATTAGATCTTAAAGGTGATATTGTAGTTCTGAAAGGTGATATTGTAGGTCTGAAAAGTGATATTGTAGGTCTGAAAGGTGATATTGTTGATCTGAAAGGTGATAATGTAGGTCTGAAAGGTGATATTGCAGGTCTGAAAGGCGATATTGTAGATCTGAAAGGTGATATTGTAGATCTGAAAGGTGATATTGTAGATCTGAAAGGTGTTATTGTAGATCTGAAAGGTTATATCGTAGGTCTGAAAGGTGATATTGTAGATCTGAAAGGTGATATTGTAGGTCTGAAAGGTGATATTGTAGATCTGAAAGGGGATATTGTGGATCTGAAAGGTGATATTGTAGGTCTGAAAGGTGATATTGTAGATCTGAAAGGTGATATTGTAGGTCTGAAAGTTGATATTGTAGATCTGAAAGTTTATATCGTAGGTCTGAAAGGTTATATCGTAGGTCTGAAAGTTGATATTGTAGATCTGAAAGGTGATATTGTAGGTCTGAAAGGTGATATTGTAGATCTGAAAGGTGATATTGTAGGTCTGAAAGGTGATATTGTAGATCTGAAAGGTGATATTGTAGGTCTGAAAGGCGATATTGTAGATCTAAAAGGTGATATTGTAGATCTGAAAGGTGATATTGTCGATCTGAAAGGTTATATCGTAGGTCTGAAAGTTGATATTGTAGGTCTGAAAGGTGATATTGTAGATCTGAACGGTGATATTGTAGATCTGAAAGGTGATATTGTAGATCTGAAAGGTTATATCGTAGGTCTGAAAGGCGATATCGTAGGTCTGAAATTTGATATTGTATATCTGAAAGGTGATATTGTAGGTCTGAAAGGTGATATTGTAGATCTACAATATCACCTTTTAGACCTACAATATAACCTTTCAGATCCACAATATCACCTTTCAGACCGACAATATCACCTTTCAGATCCACAATATCACCTTTCAGACCTACTATATAACCTTTCAGATCTACAATAACACCTTTCAGACCTACGATATACCCTTTCAGATCTACAATATAACCTTTCAGACCTACAATATCACCTTTCAGATCTGAAAGGTGATATTGTAGATCTGAAAGGTTATATCGTAGGTCTGAAAGGTGATATTGTAGATCTTAAAGGTGATATTGTAGATCTGAAAGGTGATATTGTAGATCTGAAAGGTGATCTTGTAGGTCTGAAAGGTGATATAGTAGATCTGAAAGGTGATATTGTAGGTCTGAAAGGTGATATAGTAGATCTGAAAGGTGATATTGTGGGTCTGAAAGGTGATATTGTAGATCTGAAAGGTGATATTGTAGATCTGAAAGGTGATATAGTAGATCTTAAATGTGATATTGTAGATCTTAAAGGTGATATTGTAGATCTTAAAGGTGATATTGTAGATATGAAAGGTGATATTGTAGATCTTAAGGGTGATATTGTAGATTTTAAAGGTGATATCGTAGATCTGGTGGTTAATTGTGTAGATATGACGGGTAATTTTGTAGGCTGTGCAGATCTAAAGGATGATTTTATATTATTGTCGGGTGATATTGTAGATCTGAAGGGTTATATGTATAGAAAAAAGTTAATATTGTAGATTTAAATTCAAAGATAGTTTGATTTTATCGCTTATATTGTATAAGGAAATTTTGAGAGTATCGTTTTTGTTTCCTTGCAGATGACACAATGTGTGACCCAGTTATAAATGCTAAAATGTACAACACCTGCGCTGAGGCCTTAGGTAAGAGAGTTACCAGGTGATGAGTTGTAGGGGACACACCATATTGGTCCGGGCTATAATAATTATTTAAATATGCATGCTGCTTCCACGTAAAATAGGATATGTATGTAAACAATCGGGTTGCATACACCCATAGATATTAAAATATGTAGTTCAATCCATATATGAATATCAATAGATAACGTCGACAAAATATCAATGATATATCGAATACAGTCCTGGTTCTTGATGATTACCAGAAATAAAAACATAGAAAAGTATTTCATGTGGTTGAATATTTCTAAATATAGAAATATCAATCCAATTACCTGGAAGATGACGGGAAGTATTACATATTCAGACAAGCGTTCTCTCGTTATGACAAATACAGAAGATCTACCATGTTTCTGAATCAACAGCAATATTGGTAACTGCAGGTAAAACGACATGACACGGGACTAGGTGATAATGATTTGATAATGAAAGGATGTCAATTTCCTTCTTTTCTTAAAATGCTTCATTCATTTTGTGAAATATAACATATGTTCTTTTTTAAACTTGAAACACGTTTTTTAACCATAAAACCTTATATTTAACTTTTATATCTGGACATGTCATCAAATCAGAGAAAAAAATATTCCTTAAATAAGCGTACAGAAATACTTCTCTGAATGAATATTGTTCAGACATGAACGTATCGGAAATCGCCATATTTCATACATTTCATCAAATATCATACCCGTATAGTGAAATAATTAACTATGTTCATTTCAGATACAGAGTACTGTCCTTGCGACTGTGCGTACTACGACAAACTCAAATACTGGGAAGAAAACCCACTTCCGGAAGGCTTGACGGACGACGAAAAGAAAGAGACGGTTAGACCGGAAATGGAGGCAACAAAGAAACAGTTAACTGTAAACAAAACCGACCTATCGTCCTTTCGAAACAAAAAAATAAGCGCCTCTGACGACAGATCTTCTGCCAAAGGCTTGGGCATGCTCGGTGCTATTATGCTGGGTCTCGTGTTCGGTTCACTTGTCTTGTGTGACCTCGTGTCTCTGAAAAGACATGCCAACAATGTAAGGGGAAACTGGTCTTGTTTCAAAACATGAAACTGACTTGATCTTTTGTTTGAAAGGATGACGTTGAAGACAGGAACATTTAAAGATTATTTAAAAGGTAGATAGTACCGAATTAGACGTTATGTTTTAACAAGCAGTCAATATTTTTACCAACGACCGACCATACAGACTCGAAAACTTGTCTGAGATTTAAATCTGACGGGAGTGTACAGGTTGATAACTATGTTCCTGTGATAAACTTTATTTCAGTGTTTGAATAAAATAATCGCTATCCAGTCAGGGTTTTGAGGAACAATTTCCCTTTTCTCACTCCACTGGCTAGACACTGTTTAAAGCATATGGCTAGGCAAATATGGTCTGATATAGAGAAAATTAACAATCATGTGGAAAAGCAATAAATTACATTGTATCATATGTTGGTATGTAAAAATGATAATTGCTATAGTCATACAAATTGTTCTTGTTCGATTTGAACAACACCTTCCATGACTATGTGATATATCGTTCCTTTGTCATTTTGACATGGGAATGTGAAGTTATCTTCCCTTTTTTAAATATGTATGCAATAATTTATTTTATGTAGAAAGGGAGCAAAGTAGAGCAACACATTGTAAATTACTGTTTGTTTTTTTGTTGCTGTTTTTTTGTCATTAAATATCACTATCTAATTGTTATTTTAGGTTTACCATAACACTTTTGTAACCAGAATAACGAGATATTTTCAGTTTGAGGGGTGTTTTGATTTGAAAAAGAATGTTGCATTGAGTTTTTAAATGTATAAATTTGAGGGACAGTTTAAAATCTGTTTAATATAATTCGTTGTCCTTTAAAAGTATCATATGTGTTTTTGTTATTGTACTTCAAAAAAATTACAATTCACGTGTGTTTCAATTTGTATATAGTTTAATTCACGTATATAGCAATGGATGTATATGATGATTCACGTGCGTCACCATTAACGTTTTTACATTATATAGATCACGGATACAATGTACAATATTCTATAATCAAATGAATAATGTAGATGGGAATTCACAAAAGAATAAGATATAACTAGACCTTTCCTTTGTTAAATGGTTTAAATAGACTTTCAAATGATTTGTTTTATAAATCATCAACTGCTATTGTCATTTGTGACACGGAAATATTTTCAGTCTATCCCATATAATTAGTTTCTTACTCTTCTAAGTCAATTATGAATAAAACGATGAACGTAACACACACAGGTGATTGCACCTTTAAAATACAATATGATACAATATGATACAATATGATACAATATGATACAATATGACACAATATGATCCACTATGATACAATATGATACAATATGATACAATATAATACAATATGATACAATATGACACAATATGATACAAAATGATACAATATGACACAATATGATACACTATGATACACTATGATAAAATATGATACAATATGATACAATATGATACAATATGGCACAATATGATACACTATGATACACTATGATACAATATGACACAATATGATACAATATGATACACTATGATACAATATGATACAATTTAATACAATATGATACAATATGATACAATATGATAGACTATGCTACAATATGATACACTATGATACAATATGATACCCTATGATACAATATGATACAATATGATACAATATGGCACAATATGATACACTATGATACACTATGATACAATATGATACAATATGATAGAATATGATACAATATGACACAATATGATACAATATGACACAATATGATACAATATGATACACTATGATACAATATAATACAATATGATACAATATGATACCATATGATACACTATGATACAATATGATACACTATGATACAATATGATACAATATGATACAATATAATACAATATGATACCATATGATACAATATGATACACTATGATACAATATAATACAATATGATATAATATGATACAATATGATACAATATGACACAATATGATACAAAATGATACAATATGACACAATATGATACACTATGATACACTATGATACAATATGATACAATATAATACAATTTGATACAATATGATACAATATGATACACTATGATACAATATGATACAATATGATACACAATGATACAATATGATACACTATGATACAATATGATACCCTATGATACAATATGATACAATATGATACAATATGAAACAATATGACACAATATGATACAATTTTATACATTATGACACAATATGATACAATATGATACAATATGACACATAGGACACAATATGATACAATATGATACAATATGACACATAGGACACAATATGATACAATATGATACAATATGACACAATATGATACACTATGATACAATATGATATACTATGATACAATATAATACAATATGATACAATATGATACAATATGATACAATATAATACAATATGATACAACATGATACAATATGATACAATATGACACAATATGATACACTATGATACAATATGACACAATATGATACAATATGATACAATATGATACACAATGATACAATATGATACACTATGATACAATATGATACCCTATGATACAATATGATACAATATGATACAATATAATACAATATGATACAACATGATACAATATGATACAATATAATACAATATGATACAATATGACACAATATGATACACTATGATACACTATGATAAAATATGATACAATATGATACAATATGATACAATATGGCACAATATGATACACTATGATACACTATGATACAATATGACACAATATGATACAATATGACACAATATGACACAATATGATACAATATGATACACTATGATACAATATAATACAATATGATATAATATGATACAATATGATACAATATGACACAATATGATCCACTATGATACAATATGATACAATATGATACAATATAATACAATATGATACCATATGATACAATATGATACACTATGATACAATATGATACAATTTAATACAATATGATACAATATGATACAATATGAAACAATATGACACAATATGATACAATTTTATACATTATGACACAATATGATACAATATGATACAATATGACACAATATGATACAATATGATACAATATGACACAATATGATACACTATGATACAATATGATACACTATGATACAATATGATACACTATGATACAATATGATACAATTTAATACAATATGATACAATATGATACAATATGAAACAATATGACACAATATGATACAATTTTATACATTATGACACAATATGATACAATATGATACAATATGACACATAGGACACAATATGATACAATATGATACAATATGACACATAGGACACAATATGATACAATATGATACAATATGACACAATATGATCCACTATGATACAATATGATACAATATGATACAATATAATACAATATGATACAATATGATACAATATGATACACTATGATACAATATGATACACTATGATACAATATGATACAATATGATACAATATAATACAATATGATACAATATGACACAATATGATACAATATGACACAATATGATACAATATGATACAATATGACACAATATGATACAATATGATACAATGTGATACAATAGTTAAAAATCAAAATTGGTCTGAACTGCTGTTGAAACAGAAGGGGCAATTTGTTAAACCCCTAATCTATAAATTCAAACTAAACGGTGAAGCGATTAATTTTTATTGAAATAAATTGAAAAATGTGTATTTTAGGAAGCATGTTACTTCTCAAAAATAGATAACTGTGGCCATTTAGGTTAAGTCAACCCTTTGGAACAAACATTCCATTGAAACGAATGCGATTAATTAAACTCCTGACAAACCTGTTTTACAAAGTTGTATTCAAATATAAAGCAATTACCCCAAACCATGTTCAGAATGCAAAAAAAAACCATTAAATCTAGAATGCACCAAACTCGATATCTTAAGTCAACATAAATTGGTTTGAAAATATTGAAATATCGATCAATGTCTTAAATAAAAAGTTATTGGAAAACATCACTGTTTTGGTGAAATTCTAAATGTGGGAAAAATTAATTTGTTAGATACAAAACTGGTTTGGAAATACCGAGGGTTTTTTCATAAGGCTACTGGACGATACGTTCTTTCGTGTTTTAGTGACTATCAGATGAAATTATTTTTTGGCACAAAGTAAATTAAAGTGGTGTGAGATAATTAAATTTATTGTTTTAGCTTTATAAATAAAATAAAAATAGTCAATTTCAACAACATATTTAACACATACACCGAAATCCACATACGAAATGTTTAAAAAAGTTGTAATAAGCATTCGTTAGTTCATGTTTACTGTAGATATATAAAGTTTTTCAACGGTGTTTTTTTAATATTATACAGATCAACTTCTCCGAACTTGACTGTTTTATTATATTATTATCAGCAATGGCATGCTATTTGATATACATTTAATAATATAATATAATCCAGCAACAAACCAGCTATTTACTTGACACGAATGACAGATACTCTTCCCTATCGCTATAACGTAGCTTTCGCCTACTTCCGGTGTAATGCATAGCTCCAAAGTACTTTAATCTGCTAACCTTTGAACAAGTATAATTCCACATTTTAATGATGTGGCAACAGGGACATCTTATTGTATCGACTTGTGAATCGGGGTGAAAACAGGTCCATTGTACCCCACTACATGACAGTAAGAAGCGGCAATTGCGCTATCATTTGCAGGGCCATTATCATCAGCTTCTTTGCTTTTAAAATGGTTGAGTTGCCCCACTTTATACACAGGTGTTGGTTGATAAAATTGTCAGTGCTGTCCTCGCAAAATCGGCCGCCTTTGGCATGTTGACCTTTCCTTTTAATTTACCTAAATAACAGTTCATGTTTACACTCAATTAGCTACGCTTATTCATCTAGATCCTACTCCTTAGTCCACATTTTCTATCACTTACTGGTCGTTAGGTGACCCGTCTGACATTCCGTCGTTCAATGACATTTCCCTTCTCCTGCAGTTTTCTAAACGCTTATTCACTTAAGTACTCAATCTGAAGACATTTTTCACTATAAACATCATTTGACTCCGCTCGGCAAAAGGGGTATGCTTTAACACGACTATGGGGAAAACAATAGTTACTGTTTTTTCGGTTACATATATTGTAGTTTACAATCATGTTTTATTTTCATATTTTTTGTGTGTTATATTTTGTGATAATCATTTGTCATGCTCTCTTATCTACATCATGTACTTACAAAGACTCATGTATATTTGTTATTACTTTACTGCATATTCATATATGATTTATTAAATATATTAACTTCTGACAAACCCTGTATTCTAGTCTTTATACGTGAACCATCATTTGCATCCCTTCCCAGAAACTTTTGGTTGAATGTACGGGACTAGTTAGGACGCGATACCTTATCTGTACACTGCCTCTTCGAGTATCATGCAATTATATAACTTTTGTAGCTGTCAAAATGTATTACTTATCAAATCATAATTATTAAAGATGACTTGTGATTTTTGACTACTTAGCTATTGACAGTTTATAATAGGGTGGAAAGTTACTATTAATTCCATATTCGGTTTTAATCGATCGTGTGTTTCTGCCTGCAAGATAACAAATGGATGCAGGTGACCAGCCGAAAAATATAACGTGTGTGTAAAGATACAAAAAAAGTTTATGAGTGTTGGTGTCAAGAAGAACACGAAAGTAAAAAAAAAGACGTTGAAAAAAGACAATAAATAGAAAAAAAGAAAAGATAGAAATTCAAACATAGAAAAACTGCGGATATTAAGCATTAGAATAAGTTTAAGGAATAAGATTTATCAGTTTGGTATGAATAATAAAGACTAAGTTTGTTTTTAACACGAACAGGAAATGAAAACTTATTTTGCGAGCTTTCGAAAATATCTGTTTGTTTTGTCAAGCAAAGAGTGCAAATGGTCGTTGTCTCGACTCTAATCCGCTGAAAAACTACTCACTTAGCCTCAGTGATCAAGTAAAGTCAGCTGTCAAAAATCATAGAAACATTTCGTCCAATTGCGATCTAATACCACAGGCAGTCAGACGGACGGGTAACATGTTTTTCAAATTCTGCCCCATAATGGATGTTAAAATGGTCATTTGCACACTTTGCTTGACAAAGGAAGCAGCCGTTTCGCAATAACAGCTCGCAAAACATGTTTTCAATTCCTCTTTGTGTTCAAAATAAAATTCGTTATTAGAATAAGTTGTTTTGGTAACACCAATATATTTATAAACTGCATTGGGCACTTGGAGTAAGTTGTATTTTACATCGAACTGGTAATTCTGCACTGTATCCATCGCTTTATATTTAATTGCGCTGTTGGTGTTTCGGTCTGGGAAGGGTTGGCATACTGTTTGTTTGTCATATGTTGAAAAGTCTAGGAAAATATTAGAAGTTCACGGCTGATAACTATATCTTTTATAGAAGTTCACGGCTGATAAGTATATTTTTTATAGAAATTCACGGCTGATAAGTATATCTTTTATAGAAGTTCACGGCTGATAAGTATGTTTTTTATAGAAGTTCACGGCTGATAACTATATCTTTTATAGAAGTTCACGACTAATAACTATATTTTTTATGGAAATTCACGGCTGATAAGTATATCTTTTATAGAAGTTCACGACTGACAACATATCTTTTATAGAAGTTCACGGCTGATAACTATATCTTTTATAGAAGTTCACAGCTGATAACTATATTTTTAGGTCACCTCAGCAAAATTCCGTCTCTGCGTATTGCAGAGTTATCTTCACTTGGGAGCAGGTATTGATTGTTACGTCACTTGTTTGTGGGAGTAACGTCATCAATTTTTGAGAAAACGACGTAATTTTCTCACACAACCCAATGACGTAACAAGCAATACCTGCTCCCAAGAGAAGATAACTCTGCAATACGCAAAGACGGAATTCCAATCACTTTCCGTCCGTCGTCGTCCGTCGTCCGTCGTCCGTAAACTGTTACATAATCAACTTCTTCTCAAGAACCAGTGGATGGAATTAGTTTATATAGGGAAACAACACTTTTGGGTATATTTTGACAATTTTCTGTTGGAAATTATTTTTCCTTGGTCAGAATCATCCTTGGAGGAGGAAGATGGTTTTAAATTGTAAAATTTGGATTCCTACCCCAACCCTAGGGGCCAGGGCGGGGCACAAAAGTGAAAATTAACCAATATTTCAAAAATCTTCTTCTCCAGACTCAGAGGTATTACAGTCATTTTCTCTGCATGGATGGGAAGATCATCAGGGGCTTTATTTGAATTGTAAATTTCAGGACCCCCGAGCTATCCGTTCTCCCTTGGGGAGGGGTAAAGTTTACTATAGTTTATATAGGGAAACAACACTTTTGGGTATATTATGACAATTTTCTGTTGGAAATTATTTTTCCTTGGTCAGAATCATCCTTGGAGGAGGAAGATGGTTTTAAATTGTAAAATTGGGATTCCTACCCCAACCCTAGGGGCCAGGGCGGGGCCCAAAAGGGAACATTAACCAATATTTTAAAAATCTTCTTCTCCAGACTCAGAGGTACTACAGTCATTTTCTCTGCATGGATGGAAAGATCATCAGGGGCTTTATTTGAATTGTAAATTTCAGGACCCCCGAGTTACTATAGTTTATATAGGGAAATAACACTTTTGGTATCTATTTTATCCATTTTCAGCAGAAAATTACTCAAACTTAGTCAGAATCATCTTTGGTGAATGAGAGTATTACTTTGGAAAATTGGGATTCCTGCCCCATCCCCAGGGGCTAGGGCGGGGCCCCAAAGGGAACATTTACCAATATTTTCAAATTCTTATCCTTTGATGACATGACAAGTATTGTATTTCACTTAGTTTACATGCTGATTTCCACATCACATCTAAACAATAAAATAAAGCTACCAGTACCTATGATATAACGCAGGTGACCGCTAAGGCCCTTGGGCCTCTTGTTTATAGAAATTCACGGCTGATAACTATATCTTTTATAGAAGTTCACGGCTGACAACAGATCTTTTATAAAAGTTCACGGCTGACAACATATCTTTTATAGAAGTTCACGGCGGATAACTATATCTTTTATAGAAGTTCACGGCTGATAACTATATTTTTTGTAGAAATTCACGGCTGATAACTATATCTTTTATAGAAGTTCACGGCTGATAACTATATCTTTTATAGAAGTTCACGACTGATAATTATATTTTTTATAGAAATTCACGGCTGACAACATATCTTTTATAGAAGTTACGGCTGATAACTATATCTTTTATAGAAGTTCTCGGCTGGCTGATAACTATATCTTTTATAGAAGTTCACGGCTGATAACTATATTTTTCATAGAAATTCACGGCTGATAACTATATCTTTTATAGAAGTTCACGACTGATAATTATATTTTTTATAGAAATTCACGACTGACCAATTATATTTGTTGGCGTAAGTTGGCTGATAACTATATCTTTTATGGAAGTTCACGACTGATAACTATATTTTTTTTATAGAAATTCACGGCTGATAACTATATCTTTTATAGAAGTTCACGGCTGGCTGATAACTATATCTTTTATAGAAGTTCACGGCTGATAACTATATCTTTTAGATTTTCACTTCTGCGTTATGCAACCATAATTGTTGGGAAAAGGTTTTATGAATTTAATTAACTTCATCAAAATGTGTCATTTATAGACTATGCATGAGCGTATTGATGGCACGTGAAAAGGTATGGGGTCACCGGCCCGACCACGTGGGTTTTCTCCGGGCACTCCGGTTTCCTCCCACACTAAGACCCCCCCGCGCGCTAACATAAGTGCCAGCAAGAGTGATTAATATAAGTTGACATAACTTGTTTTATGATTGTTGTAAAATAAATAAAGTTTATGATGTATTGATGGCACGACGTTTTAGGCATTCTTTTTGTAGTAATGTACACTTGCTGGTATTATTTAGTCCCTTTGTCGATATCGTAACCTATCAAAATAATAAAACAATTATCTATAGAATAAAGTTGGATTTTTATTCGCGCTCAAAGACTGTTCCGTATTGTCTAACAAAAGAAGTCAAGCAAACACAATTTAAAATGACATGACTTTATTTTGTGAATGAGAGACATTTAAAAAAGAAAAAGACATGATGTACCTGGAAGTTTATTTACATTTAAGATTAGCATTTTGTCTTTTTATATACAAACATGCAGAGGAAGTATAACTGTGTCCTTCTGTATACCTGTAACAATACTAATGCATACATGGAACAATCACCATGTTTAATATAAAAAAAAAATCCTTATATATTAAAATTGCAGTTGTTTCCTTTACAAATGGTTATAACCGGTGTTCTAAAGCGAATTAAACGCTCCGCGAAATAATCACAAAGCAACTTTGATATTGTTCGCATAACTTTGTTATACAGATTGATATTGATACATTACACAACGTTGTTTTGACAGTTATGTAAACAACTGGATATTTTCCTATGTCTATTTGTTATATATATATTCAGTGAAAGGAAATTAGACTGTAGTGCGTGTTTTTTATTTACATTTGTATATCTGTTTACATGTTTATGCCTCATTTGTCCATGTACATAAAAAATCCACTAAATAGCAGAGATGTTATTAGAATTTAAAATTTTAACAATAAGATTGTTTAACTCATACTGGGAATAAAATACGAACAGGGAAAATCCTGAACTAAGGAATGTTATGGCCCGAGAAATCTGCACCCATTGACGTCCTTTCAAAACAGACATTCAACCGCGCTGTATTCCATAATAGATTCTTAGATTTCAAAAATGGGTAGTCTTTCGAAAAGTTTGAAGATACAAAGATACCAAAAATCTAATTTATTTTTTAAATTTTAAAGCTTGCCTGTAAACACTACTAAACCATGATCTGTGCTGCTTACCAATAATAAAACCTTTAACAGTGTAGCAGCTAGGCCATACTTGATGATTTTCTAAATATTCTATATAAATCATAACCAATAAAATGTGTTAGATATTTTGTTTCTATCATAATTCCAGCATTCGTAAAAGCAATGCATCCAAAACATGCCAACAAGGTGCGTGATGATATTGTAAGCACTAATTCATTCAACCACTGTCTATCAGTGATGAACTTTTAGTAAATATCGACAATATACATTTGGCTATATGTGTCATCCATTTCGCAAATTATATTGCACATATAATAATACAACGTACACACCGTAGTAAAAATTACATTACATATATTATTAAAAGAAAAACCAAGAAAATCAAAGAACATATGTAATAATACAGAGAATGTACTGCAGTTCAAAATATATCATAATGTAATAAATCAACAGATACTTATAAGTAATTTTAACAAACTTCAAACTTTCTTCATTTTTGTTTTATTTAATCTTAAAATTTATATCCACGGCCTTCCTCGTCAGATGTGTCAGCCTTGTCAATCATATATACATTTAACATTTCATATATACATGATACATATCTACATTTATATTCAGTAGCAGCTTGAGAGGCCTTCACTGAATGTGAAGAAATCATAAGGGAATCACCCTTTTTTGTCATAAAACGCACAGGAATGAAATATGGTAGCCCACCTATTTTCCCTACTTATACGTATACTAACATATACTGCATACCGTCGGCTATGAAAGTGTTTGTAATATGATTGGCCTATCACTTTCACTTCAAGTTCACTTGACATAATGTACATGTATCAGAACATGACAAAGTAACCCATGGTAATGTTAACCAATTTACGCCGTCACGTAATATTTGTCGAACGCTCACGCGATATTGTCGACCGCTTACATGATATTGTCGACCGCTTACATGATATTGTCGATCGCTCACGTGATATTGTCGAACACTTGCATAACATTGTCGATCGCTCACGTGATATTGTCGAACGTTCAGATGATCTTAGGGTACTCTCAGACGATATTGTCGAACGCTCACATGATATTGTCGAACGCTGAGATGATCTTAGGGAACTCTTAGACGATATTGTCGAACGCTCACATGATATTGTCAAACGTTTACATGTAATTGTCAAACGCTCAAGCGATATTGTCGAACGCTCACATCTTATTGTCAAATGCTCACATGGTTTTGTTAAACGTTCACATGCTATTTTCAAACGCTCACGCGATATTGTCGAATGTTCACATGATGTTGTCGAATGTTCACGTGATATTGTTGAACGTACACACGATATTGTCGACAACTCACATGATATTGTCGATCACTCACATGACATCGTTGAACTCTTTGAGTATATTGTCGAACGCACACATGGTGTTGTCGACTGATCACATGGTATTGTCAAACGTTCATATGACCTTGTCGAACGCTCACATGATATTGTCCAATGTTAACTCGATAGAAAACGCAATCCACTAAGATTTCCTTCGAAACAACACTTCGAACGTTTATTCCGGAATATCGCGATTTTAACAAAACATCATTTTGTGATTTGTTTTATTTTCTGATCCTTGCTACGTATTTATCTATCCATTTGTTTGTATCCAGGGTTTACAATTCCAGAGTCTACCATTGGCTCGTCCTTGTTGTCAGGAAACGTAATTCGGTAAAATGAATCAACTTGGTTGTCTTCCACTAAACGATCATGATGGATAAACTGGTTCTTATACCTAAAAAAGTAGAAAAAACAGTCTTATTTTTGCATTATTTAAACTCAAAACATTTAAGAAAATATAACGTACATTGTATATATTACGACGGTAAATTTTACAAGAATAATCCCATTTATTTAAAGAAAATTACAGTGTGTCAACATTTGTACCGTGTTACCTTGACCAAACTTCAATGTAAAAACACTGACATCGGCAATGCCTGTCACACAGCAATGACATTTCAAATACAATTTGTAATTAAGGATGTTCACCTCTGAGAAGTCAAACAATTCCTGTTTTGAACTTTTTTTCTTATATAGATTTTTGGAAAAAGGAGTTAATGCCATAGTCGAAAATGCAAAAACAAATATGTCCGTGTGTTCGTTTTTGTGCTATGATCGGTCAAAGATACCAATTGAACACAATATTTGATTTTAGTTGATTTTTTGGTTTTGAACATTTGCAGAACAAATCGATACAGTTTCTTCAAAGTGTATGAATGTTTGTAGAATAGAAAGTATCATTTTTTTTTATTTAAATTATGGAAGTAAAATTTCTTAATCTTATTCTTTCAACTCAGAAAGGCGATTTAAGTTTCCCCTACCCCCTTGATTTTTAACCATTTTTTACAGATCAAACGGTTGATATAAAAAGTTCTGCTATTTAACAATTTTTAATATTTAATGAATGAAAAAGAAAACATGTCTTCTTTCTAAAACAGACACGAAAATGGGGGTCCGTGTGCTTCTTTTTTGTCCCATTATTATATGTGTTATTTTTCACATTTTTCGGGATCAATAATCAAAAGTGCTTCAGTTACACTAAATATGTAAAAAAAAAAATTAAAAAAAAAAAAAATGTATAATTTTCCACTTTGTTACATATTATTTTTATCATATTGAACATTATTAAGTTGTACAGCAAATTTGAACCTGCTACAAATACAAATGGCGACACAATGACAATTTGAGTGATCAATCTAGTGTAAAAAAAGGTGAATATTGGCCTTTTGTGAAGCGGAAGAAATACACATTAATAAACATTTTCAAAATGGCTGCCGAATTGGTCATTGTTTTAGATTTTTGTAAAAATAGTTTTACAAACAACAGGCATTTAGTTTTTTGACATATTTTTCAGATGCGTGTTTGCTATTAAACTATCAAAACGAGACTTGAACGTGATTTAAACCTCAGAAGAGTACATCCCTAATGCCGTAGCCGTGATTTGTAACAGAAAACATCTACTCACTTGCGGTACAGGAAAATACTGGCTATTGTAGCAATTACAGCAACAATCACACCAACACTAGCAATGGCGGCAATGGCTCCTACGTGTAGGCCTTTGTCAGGAACTGGTCGCTCCCTCAACGAGCTACTCACATCTGCAAGATGAAAATGCCTAGACATAACTTTAAATAACTTTTATTTTAGAGCAATCAACTAAATGATACGGGAAAGATCGGTATAAACGCTAACTTCAAAAGTCAGATATATTTATTGCATTTTTGTTTATGATATTCAAATGAATTTAAATATATTATTCTTTCGGTATATATCTCTCCGCATGGAGCGCACAGATTGACTGTTGCACTTGTTCACATAATTGATGTAAACACTCGGGGACATCTGCAATACGCTCAACAGACCTTAGACCATTAGCATTGCCTATTTATGACACACAGAACAGACACGCTAGATTAACGGAAAGGAAACGCAACGCAAAAAGAACACAAATGCAACGTAAAGGAAACACAAGCACAACGCATTGAGGAAACAGAAAACGGTCGAGGGTCTTTTTATAGTATAGCGTACCTGGCTCCGGTGTGGACACTGGCTCAGTCGTAGTGTTATTTGGTAGCTCTGGTAAATAAAACATCTTGGCGTTTATAGGATATAAGACTCGTTTTTTGTCAAGTATCATTTGAAACAATAATTGCAAAGAGACTTTTCACTACTTATTTTATGGTAGAGAATGTTATTTTTACTTTTGTCACTGAAAACAAAGAAAAAAGCTCTTTCCGGTTAATATTGTTCAGAAACCGGGTTGTTCCAAAAAAAGAAGATATAAAGTTTTTCATCGTATATATCGTCATTCTTACCTGAAGAAACGCATCTGTCTCCTAATAAAACATAGCCGTCTGAGCATGCGCATGTATATTTAAAATTCCATTTGGGAAGACAGAGATGGTCGCATGTGTTGTCGAAACATGCATTTTTCCCTGGAAAATATGAAACCAAATCAAAGCTCAAAATTTAAACTAGTTTTATTTTTTCAATTTTATTTACATTCTCGTCTGAAGCTAATGATGAAATTACCTTAGTTTTTTCTATGAAAGTTAGTCACAAATATCATCAGCTTATATTTTCGATAACAATAATTATTATTTTGTTATTGAGAAAGCTAGCGTAAACAGCTTAGACAGTTGAAGCATTGAACTTTACATTGTGACTGCCTATTTCAAGCGATTTATTTTTTTTGTTTTTGTTTTTTTTATGGATCGCCTGTCCTCTCGTTTAAAACGTCTTTGTTGAAGGTTATGAATTACCATACAGTTAACTTCATAACCATTACCTTTTAGAACGGAATCACGGCTGTACGCGGCGATACCGTTAACACGGGAAAAACTTGACGGTCCAACCTGCTCCATACTTCCTCCTCCAGTCTTTAACAGTCGGGAGATGTAACTGGAAAAAATGACCCGCACCAACAAATGTACAAACGTGAACTAACTTACTGCTGTGAACAGACAAATCCACGGCTGCGTTTTGGTTTAAACTTTATCTTTACATTATCAAACAGAAAAATTCATCATTTTGTTTGCATTTTTACAACACGAAAATAGTTCAACCGTCAATACAATAATAAATCAGTTATATCTGTATATCAACTTATAACAATATTTCTGTTTTGTTGCGTACTCACTTCCGTTTCCAATCTGTGACGTAAAGGTAATCGCCTAAGACAGTAATCCCAAAGTAGTGGCTGATTGGTTCTTCTATGAGCGTTTTCCTGCTCAGTCCATTTATGTCAACAACCTCGATTTTGTTGTATTTAGCATCTACCCAGTAAATTTTCCTCCCTGGGGAATTCAAAAAGTCATTTTTTTGTAGTTGCTGGCTCATTTTTGTTCAATTAGAAATCACAAAATATGATCACAGAAGATAAGTAGCCCCTAAAATTACAGTTGTTGATCAACTTCAAACCTTTAAGAAGATGTCATTCATTTGTTAATCAAGTGTGTTGTCATTAATATTTAGCTTACATGTCATGAAGCAATGTTAATTACATACTGTCAAGCACACGTTACCTGCGTAGTCGACGGCGATTCCGTTCGGCCAGGAATTTTCCGTCAGGTTGACCAATGTCACTCTGTCTGACCCGTCCATATTAGCAGCCTCTATTTTTGGTTGACTCCCCCAGTCTGTCCAGAACATCCGGCTAGAAAGTCCAAATAACAAGTCACATAAACAAGCAGAATATATAACATGCGGCTTATGAAGAACCCATGCGCATGTGTTTCAACTAATGTCAATTTTAGACGCATTAAGGCAACCTGTTATATCTTTACCGCATGGAGTAACGAAGCATTTGCTTTCTAGTCAAATTACGGGATGTAATTTAAAACTTCTATCACGCAACTCAAATAGCAGATAAACTTTGAGATAACAACATCGCAACAGTTTGCAGTTTGACACTTTGACCTTTCCGTACAATGCTTGGACTTACTTTTTGCCCTCTGTTTGATGCTTGAATGCATTTCGACCTTATCATTTAATACATAAATGCACTGCCTTCCCTTTTAATGTATGAATGCATTTTTATTTTATTTTTAACTTTAAACTTTCGATATGAACGAACGATCATAATTTGACTTACCCGTCAAGGGGATGAAGAGCAATGTCTCTAGGCTGTTCGAGACCTTCAGACACTATAGTCCGACTGAGTCTGGTCCGGGCAAGGGAGATAACTGTTATGGTGTCTAGCCCAGTATTCGTGTAGTATAATAGACGGCTGATATAATCCACTGCGATCCCGTCAATTACAGACGCTGGAAAGGAGGCCAAGGTCAAAAAATACAGTTAAGATTTTGCTACAGGGAATACAGTGTATATTTGCACTTGCATGCATGCTCACTATATTAGCTACATCGTTTTAATGGAAACCGCGTTTATAGTCCTATGCTTATATCAAATTCACTCGTTAGTTTGATTTGCTTTTAATATGTTGAACACCCTATGAACGGCTACGGTCATTAAATGACCTGATACCTTGTTTGTAATGTGTTCGTGCATGTGTGTTTGTCTGCTTGAAGTGATGTGTTTGAGTATTTGCCTTCTTGCAACCCGCGGATCTGATGCCGATTGTAGTGTTTTACATTGTACCTCACTGAAAAACCATGCCGAGAGACCCAGCATAGTACCCCATCCGGTCACATTATACTGACAAGGGGGATATCAGTTGTTGTCATTACCCTAAATGCTTAACAATAAGCAAGGAATAACAACAACCATTTTAAGGACCCGGGGTGTCTCGATCCGGGAACAGATTCATTGGCCTTCCTCACTTATGCAAACGTTCAACACTATGGCCAAAAGTGAGGTATTGGAAAGAAGGACGCTAAGAAACAAACAGTTTGTTAGAAAGTAGAGAGAAATTACAATTCAATCCAAATGTACGAAAGGGGGCGGGCATCAGATCAGTGAAAATCTCTGATTCCGCAGGGGCTCAATATTCATCGCCCTCCGGCACATGCAGGCTTATTTTCCCTGAACCTGCAGAGAACCTTCTCTTGGGTTAGTTATGACGCCTTTTTATGTCTATTGTTATACATTGCAGTCCGTTCAAAAAGAATGGAGAATAACTATGAATCAACAGCTCAACTGTTGGCGTGTTATTCCGTCAAAAATGTATCATATTGTCTTAAAACGCAAAATATTCAGATATCGGATAACGTACCGAATACGATGACTATTAACTCTGAGAGCGCTATTTTTAACTTCAATTTGAAATCTACTGACCGTTTGTGAGACTCTGGAGGGTAAATTCCGTCTGTGAGTCTAGATGAGCACCCTTAATCAGTTTCGCCATATTGTCAGTCCAGTATAACTTCTCAAAGATCGGATCGTAGTCGAGAGCGATCGGCCGGTACATATTGGACAGAGGAATTGCGTGAACACTCTGGTCATCCAACCCGACCTGGTACATGTGTCGCTGGTGAGAGTCGGATACTACCAGGAAGTTGTCAGACAGCAAATCTTCAAATTCAAGTTTCAGCTTGTAAGTTATCAAGTTGGAGTGTGCCTCACAAATAAATCGTTTAACAGCAGATATACCTCAACGTTTGTATTTGATGACAGCCTAGTAAGAATCATTCATTTTCCTTCCAGACGGTGCTACCATTTTACATTTCATATCCGTCATAAGGATGTAGATATTTCGAAAGTATTAATTATTACTATGTATACGTAAAGTATTTGTTAATTTTTCCAACACTGAAATTACTTTGATTTTTAGTTTCTGTAAAGACAATATTTTTATTTTAGCTATTAATTAGAAAAAATCTTATATTTATACAGAAAGAGTCCAACTCTTAAAGAATAGTGACAATAAAAACAATATCAATAAGTTATTATAAGTAATTTCAAGCAATTATTACACATGACATAGCTAAGTAATGAAATAAAGATAAATAAGTTTTAAAAAAACATCATTTCCGAACTTTTTATATCTTTATTGTTTATATCTATGTACTTACGGGATGTGCATTTGTTAATATTGCCATCGTCTAGTTCAAATCCAGTTCCGCATGCGCAAAAGGAAGTCGTTGGTGAGTTTGGAAGGCAGAGCTGATCACATGGTGAATCCGTACACGACCCTTCAATGGACGGAAACAAATATAATACATAAGACCATCAATGTTCAGAATCATATGTAACACAATTATAAGTTAATCAAAATTATCATACACGCAATACATCTAGAAAGAAACTTCAGCTTACTTTTTTATACGTATTACGTGCATATTGCTCGTGTGTTGGTTACCCTATGTAACAGCTAAAGACGTATGATGACAAATCCATTATTGCTAGGCTGGGCTCATAAGATGATTTGTTCGTCATTGACGGGGCCACAAAACGACCAGAACGTTATGGCAATAGTCAACACCATATGCTTGGCCACACCTCAAATCAGGTCATGTGACGACGGTACCAACTGATTGAGGGGAAACAAAGCATTATGACGAGGATGTCCCCTAATGTCGGACAACAAAATAGTTAAAATCAGGATGAAGATGTCCACTCACGAGGCTACACATGAAACATGTAAATGAGATTTGGATTTGAATATTAAAAAGGCTGCCTAAAAAGATCAGGCCAACTGCATTGTATGGAAGAGTATTCTAGTGTACCTGTAAAGTTAGGCTGGTTCGACTGGTCGTAGGTAATGAGGTCAGCTGACACGCCCACCTGGGGGTGTAAAATCCCACGCTTTTTCGTGCCTGTGTTGAGGTCAGCAACGTGGATACCGTTCATCTTGTCAGTATCGGTCCATATGATGTAGTCCTGGTCGTGGAAAAGGTATCATTGTTACGTTGAAGATGTTACAAGTGTAATTATGAGTTAGTTTCAAAATTTGCATTCAGGTATTGAGGAAAATTGGCTAACTGTCTTGTATTAAAAAGAGATAGAAAGTAGATAGTTCTTTACATTAATTATTAGTATAAGTAGTAAATAGTATAATATGATTGTTTGTATTTGTAGATAACGATTGCCTAAAAAACGAAAAAATATAACACAGTGAATCTGAAGAAGCTAGTTTACCTTCTATCCACCTGGTTACATATATTTAAATAATATCTATATAATAATATTATGTGTGTGTATACAAATATGGTATATATATATCTGCTATTGTAAAAGAATGTTTACGAAAGAGATTTACAGTTATACATTAATTATATGTACACACCTGGTAGATGCTGATACCAAAGAACTTGGCCGACTGCTGGGTGTAGGCTATTGTAACATGACCGTCTCCGAGGTCATAGCTTCCTATCTGGAACAGCTCCGAGTCCGACCAGTATAGTCTGTAAGTAAGCAAGGAATCAGATAGCAAAACGCGAAAGTAGCATAGCATACATTCATTTAAAAAGTATCTGGCACATCTGAACCAGCTAAAAACTGTGTTTTAGTTCCTGCGATACATGTTTTTTGACAGTTGACGGTCACTCAAAACACGGAAACTGCCTATATCCTCATGCATATTCAGGGTATGCTAGTTTTAGGAATTCAGATATCAATTTTTTCATTGCTATTGATACCACCATCAATGGAACATTGTTAAATTCCGACTAGGGACATGCTTCTTCAGTCCTCTCTGTAAGGAATTTTGTAAAGTCTGCTGTCTGTCTTTTGGGAGAAGAGGAATACGTTTAGTCGCGGTTATGTTCCGACAGTGTCAGTCAATGAGAAAATGCCTTTTACGCCATTAAAGACAATGCGATGCATTCAACGTCGTGCCTGATTTGAACGTGGGTATCATACAACAACAGTTTCCTTAATAAGTGTAGCTTATTAAATCAGTTTATAGATACAAACATATCGTACGATAACCTACACGTAACAATGGACGGACAGAAAATGTTATCGCCAATTTGAACGAAAGATAGATAAGGTTATAATCACACAGCTTACAAAGGTATCTGTCTACGATTATGAAACAAGAACTCTTCACCAAATGTCGTCAGCGTAGGACGAGGGAGGATAACTCACCTGTCCTTATGGAAATCTATACAGAGATGGTTGGGATGCCTGACGCCACTGAAGATTTGAAGCTCTGCCCTAAAGTCACCATTCATGTAAGACATCTCTATGACCTGTCTCCCGGGGTCAGTCCAGTACATCGTTCTGTCGAAAGAAACCAATGGCCACATAGTATTCTTACTGGTATACTGTATAACATGAAATAATTGTTAGGTGAAAATTATTTGTAGCTTTCGTGATTGCTTCGGAACCACTAAAACACGAATTTAATTGACATGTTTGACCACTGTTTATTTATATGGGGTATCAACGAAACAATCTAAATAACTTTAAACCAAGAAGAAAAAGTACTCTCGAACACTTTCATGTTTATAACTGTAAAAGAGATCGGGATATATTCTCAACGTAGGCGCTATATCATTGATAACATGAATGGTTAACACTTTATTAAGTGGGATCATTTAATATCCGTCTATGAATGAAAAGTATTGAAGAATTGATAAATAGACATTGTCACTGACCCCCGTTTAGGGTGCACGGCTATACCGAGTGGTTCTACCAGGCCCGAGTCTATGATCGCCTTCTGGTACCGGCCGTCTGTCTTTGCCACCATTATGTGTTTGAACTGTCGGTCAGTCCAGTAAAGGGTGGACGTTGTCCAGTCTAGTGCCATACCTGTCAAGATTAAATGTACTCAAGGTCATATATGAAAAAGAAAAAAAGTTGAAACAGACGTATACGTGTAATAAAAACATTGGTTTCCTGAAGCATCCTTGAAATTTGGAATCTGAAAGCAAAACTAAAAGTATCACATCGTCACAAAAGACAGTAACTGAACTCAATGCCTATACGGCAGACGATCAGGAGATAAAGTCACCATGAACCGCCGCCAAAACACTGACATATCAAATTGTATCCTGGAGGGTTAAGCATTCCCATATAGGTAGCCTCTCTTAAAATCGAGGGACGCATAATGTCACAAACGGTCTGAGACTCAGTTACTAGGTCCTTATCATGGTAAACGCCTGTAAATTAGCGACGTAACAATGTCATCACGACATCTGCGCATGTCTTCAACGTAGCACGAAGCAAAAATGTCATCTTAAGTCAGTTGCCTATTTTCAGCGAAGAAATCACATTGAATTTATCATTATTCATAAGCAATGGTTTGGTTTGGTTTAGTATTGTTTAACGTCCTATCAACAGCTTGATCTGCAACAATTTCTTGTTTCCGGATTACGTACCCCTGACGTCACCAAGTCCCCGGATGACGGTGTCGGTATACGCCCCCTTCTTTAGCTGCACTGTACCAATACTGTTTGTCATGTTGGCGGTGTAGTAGAGTATCTTTGCGCTTGCGTCGTAAGTTAGAGCCGTGAACCCTTTTCCGTTCTTCATAAAACATTGTTTATCTAAGGTGACGTTGACTAACGACATATCCGCCAGGTTAACAGGGTACTGGCAGATAGCATCACCAATGGCGTATATATGAGCAGGCTGTATGAAGAATTCGCTTTCTGGGGAGGCAAGTAAAAATTACATCAATGCAATAAGGTACTTTCATTGCCATGCTATGTTTCTAAATAAAGTGACATTAATTGCTTGCTTTTCAATTAATGGCTATGATAGATTTTAAAAATCCCAAGAATCATGGGCGAAACCATATAATCGATATCATTTCTTTTATTATTTTGAACTATTTTGAAACAAATATCTAAATAATTAAATAAGCAGTATAAAAAAAACCACTTTAATCCACATTTCGAGCATTTTAACGCCCATGTATATTATCTTGTTGCAAGATTTCTATAACAAGTCAGTTTTGAATGAGTTTAATCTGTAACACTTTTAGAACGTATATATTACTGTGTTTTTCTTTCCTGTGAATTAAATGGAAAAATGAAATACAACACATTATCGTTCAAATCCGTGCAGTGTTCGAGCAAATGATAATGCTAACCTGGATTTTCTTCATCTCTTAAAGGATGAAAAGAACCGAAGTCTGAACAAATCCTACGGAAATGTCTTAGGCTCTTTACATTTAATAACAAATAGTAAAATAATTGATTAGAGGCTTTAACACTGAATTAACAGAAAAATTATATGGATAATTTCCCGTCATGCATAGGAGATACTAAAAACGGGCAAATAATGGCAATTTAATTAGACATTTTAACATTAATTGTTTAATCTTTAGAATACATTTATTTTCAAAGCTATATCCTTTCAAAGTTAACAAACAAAAACAAAAAATAGCATTCGAAGTCAAAGACATTTGATAGTCAGATCACAGGACACGAATAACATACCTACACACGTTTTCTGGTCACCCTGGAGCGTATACCCGTCACCACAGTAACAGGAGGCACCGAAGGGGGGATTGTTGATGCAGATTTGCTCACAGCTGAGTGCCTCACATTCCTCTGGAACACCGAGGTGACAAAACAGCAATAACACAGGTAGTTGTCTTCTTTACATTGATGACAGTTGATTTCCCATGCCCTTCGTCTAGAGCCCAATATATATTTGATTTTTGCTTTGACATCCATTAAACAAACGCAAACCTTTTATCCAGGGAACAAACAGCTGGCGTGTCAGCAGTAATGCTTTTCTCGCCTTACGTTTGTGCTTTCGTTAAAGATATGCAATATCTTGATATCTATGTTTTGACATTTTATATCTTAAACACAAATCTGATAAGTATAAAAATGTAAGGGGTTAAACGGTGTTGTTTAATACTTTAATATGAATATTTATTAAATCATTGCCAAAATTAGCAATATGCGTTTTTGTTCATATCGGTCATTTATTACTAGGTATAATTTTCGCTCCGAAACAAGTTTGCATGAAACACAAAATATGTTATGTTAAATGCAACTGTCACCGTTACACTTATCTTGGTGACAAAAATCGAATTGTCAATTATTACAGGGGAATGGGTAAACTATCAAGTCAATAAGAATGTATTATCATTTATTTACTTAAAGTCGAATGCCAACCATTTCCGATGATATTTTTACATTTTTTTACTTATGTTTTGCACTGGTAGAACACATCTTCGTTCCCAAATTTCTTTATTAATTCGACAAAACAAGGACTTCAAAACATATTCATAGTCACGAAAAACCACGAAATACCCTGTAGTGTGATGGATATCTTACAAAATCCCTTACACCTTTGCATATTGCATTGCTGACCTAGATAGGCCTTTTCAGCACCATGTCTTTGTGACTGGTAATGTTTAACCGAAACATGAGCTGGTATTGACAAAATAGCGCAAACATGTTTACCGAAGGCGGCATGACATTTATAAATTATTTTTGGAATGTTAAAAAGGACGTACGTCTGTCTCCAGGCTGTAACTCCTCGTCATACATAACGATGCCGTACGGGCGATGACCAAGCTGATAGTTAATGTATTTATTTCCAGTATGTTTGTCGTAAATCCGTAGGTGGCCTTCCTGTTGTTCCGTCACAAACAGGTATCTCTGCAGGACAAATAACAACAACAGGTAAAATTCAATCAGAACCATTCTAACACATTAAAAGTTGTATGGGTGTCATAAATAGCGTCACTTCCGGTATCAGACTCCTTCTACATGATCTCTTCAGCTTCGCTGTTGTTGACATCTCGTTTTAGGGACATTATAAAACAAAAGGTGGAAATATTTTTTTTATATTTTTTTTACATTTACCTGAATGCCCATTTCGAGAATAAGTGTACATGACCAGAAACCAAGAGAATAAATCTCAAAAGGTTACATATAATGTCTGCAGTATTACGTTGGAATATGCTATTAGGAGAGCCCAATCTTTTTGTGACTGAAATACATTTATCGCCTACTGCACTTCAGACCTAGTGTATACTGAAGATCTGTGTTTTAATCAGACTGGGGAGAGTAACGCGGATGTCTTTCAAAGTACTTCAACACAAGACTGCAAATACTTGCTAATCTGGATCGGCGAGTATACACTATAACGAACGGATATTAAAATAACAGGGAAGTAAACGAAGTAGATTCCGTACACAGTTGTATTACAATGGGGATGGTCTAGTTAGATAAACATCATAACTGTAATGCCATTTAGCAAAGTACAATACTGCTGATATACACCATGGCACGGATAATGAGGGAACAGGGCAGTATATACGAGAACAGAGAATTAACGAGAACAGAGAAATAACTTAAAAGGTCCCATGTACATTGTTATTACAATGGGGAATGTCGAGTTTGATTCGAACGACGACTGTTATACTACTTAGAAATGGATGCAGAGGAGAGCAGTGCCCAACTATCCAATATCTCTAGATAGATTACTGCTGATATACACCAAAGAACGGTAGTAAGAGAACAGGGAAGTACACCAAAACAGGGAGGTAAACGTGGATGGTCCCATGTACGTTGTTATTACAATGGGGAATGTCGAGTTTGATTTCCACGGCAACTGTTATGCAACTTAGCAATGGATGCAAAAAGGCCTCCAAATCTGGAGGAGTCGCATATCATCCTTCAAGTCTAAATATATTTCTAAACTTACTTTATAAAGTGCGATCCCGAAAAAGTTGCTACCCTGGACCTGGGCAAGTGTTTTCCGGTTGTTTCCATTAAAATCTACTCGTTCTATTGTGTCTTTTCCACTGTCCACCCAGTAAAGTTTGTTCATTGATTGGTCGACTGCCAGACCACGTGGGTGGGTGATGTCAGTAGACACCAGTGTGCGCCGGTTGTTTCCAGTAAGATCGGATGTTTCGATTTTCGGTTTGAGGCCCCAATCACTCCAAAATAAATACCTATAAATTATGGAATTGTATTCATTAATGCAAAACGTACTAAACGTTGACATGCCTTTTCATAGAGATTATGGTAAAAAAAAAATACAAAATGAGTTTTGAAAAAAAAGGGAATTTCTTTAATTCACGCAATAGTTAATGGATTTGCTAGATCAATCAATGTTAAATACGAATCATAATTATACAGATGAAGACTTGTTGACATTAAGAAATCGCAAAATAGGGAATGTATACAATTAATACATGGGCATAGTGGCCATGGACGCCAATCAACTATATCAAAAAATGTGATTAATTGGTGTTTTCCCTTTCAATTCATAGCATTACACTTATTGAAATATAATAATTCGTCTATACGAATAAATGATACATCAAACACCAATGCTCAAGAATTTGAGGGCAACTTCAAGACCCGGGGTGTTTTTTTCAGGAATGGATCTATTTATACATCTACATAAAAACGCCGCTTAACAATATTAATTACATAAACTTATTGATAATTTGTTCGAAACTGGCAAATAGCATTGAAATCACATAATCATTAAGTAGGTACCCTTAAATGATTAATATGTTAAACATCTTTCTCAACTAGAGTATCTAGAACATATGGACTATCAGGTTTCAACAGTGTATTACAAATGACTTTGAGCCGAGATAAATTCGCCTTATATTCCTGTAAGTAGAATACATTCTTTTATCAAATATTTATTCCTTAAGCACTTTGAAGACAAACAGGATATACACAACTAATATTTACTGATGTTTAATTGATTAAGATGTCTTGCAAATTGAATGTGTAAAATTGTGTGACATTGAAGATTTCGAGGACAACATACATGGAAATTACTACATTTCATTTTACATAATTAGTCTTCCTATAATACGTATGTGTCGAATTGCCATTTTTATACTTTCAATTGTTAAAATTATATATATATCAGGATCACTAAGATTAAATAACATTGGCTACACATATCTATTTTGAGGAAGGGTATATTGAACATTTGAAACGTCAGATTAAAGGACATTGAGCCAAAATAAGTGTCCTTCGTACTTCTGATAAAAAAAAATACACTCATCAAAAATGTATTCTAAAAGTATCTTGATGGTACTAAGGGTATTTATGATATATTCATTATATATCGTAATTTGTGCAAATTTTTCACAATAATTAAAATAAAATGTATACACGCTTCATCATTTGCACGTTATTTACAAATAGGAACTGAGCACGCTATTATTAGAATCGGAAGCGAAAAAACAGTGGTATTCCGGACCTTGAAATAACACTGAAACCTATAAAAACACAGGAACATGATATTAAACCGATAAGGCTATGCCTGTATGTTTGTATGAAACAACAAAAAGGCGCTAATCACTCAAAATTGCTAAATTGCATTTCCATTTCATTTCCAATTGTTTATCCTACCATTGCTGTTGTGTCTTTGATATTCTTACTCAATGTTTCGTAATTCTTATTGTAAAACTTGCCATTCACATTCTATGTATTGTTATCCGTTCTGTTTATGCTCACATTGTTAGTTATTCTTATTAAGCATGAATTCAACAACATTTTACATGCCATACTTCAATCTTTACTCACGCCATCCTTAAAAAAATGCTTGTTTGTAGTTTCCCTACTCACATTTTGCTAAGCGGGTACATGTTTCTATATAAGAACCCTATGTTTCAGTGATTTTTCAGCAGAAAAAATACCCGAAGCTCAAAAAATATTGTAGCATGAGCCATTTTAGTGCGTCGGACGGGAAACTAACAAATTTTAAGGATGGCCTCAGTTGTATTCCGACCGAAGACGTCCATGGTGCCGTTTCACGACGCGTACGTAAATGTACGGGTACCCGTAAATATTTACGTGCACGTAACTAAGTGCACGTAGTCACGTTTCACGAAACCGTACGTAACTTTTCACATTTACGTACGGGTTTACGTTCACGTAAATTATACCGGAAGTGAATAACCCAACATGATGTGATGATCCTTAGGTTTGAAGCGGTTACAATCTTAACCATTCAATGATTTCTTAAAACTTAACATACGGCAATTCTTATTTTAATATTTCCATTTATCAGGTAGCCCGAACTTTCAGAAGGGAACTCTCTAGTGTCAGGAGTTTAACTAATTAGAGACCCGTAGAACCCGAGGCAGCACAGGAGCGCCCGGTACAGTCCGGTAGAAGTATTTGAACCGCTCGAGCCTTTACTTTTGATGTTATGTCATAGCAACTGTATAATTTATACATATATTGACATTATGAATGCAATGATAAAGAAACATATCATATTCTGCAATTCCATACTTGCCAACTCTCCGTGTTTTGGAGGGAGATTCCCGATTTTACACCCTGAAATTCAGCATTTTCAACTATTCCTATTTTCTATGATCTTATGATTTCATCTGAAAGAACAATTTAAAATATGCTATCTAAAGTGTCAATTTCCCCTTATGGTGTACATACACATATTTTATTGATGCTTTCAGTTCCTAGCATACGTTGGCAAACAGGCAAAGCTATGGCTATTCGAAATTACACGCAGTGATACAAAAGATACATGCCTTTCCTGCATTAAAGAGAAGCTAAAACACGAGCTTACGTCTTTAACATACTGGCATTTTCTTTATTACAACCGGTGTGTCGGGTGGCGCAGCGGATAGCGCACTTGCTTTCACCAAGGCGGTCGGGGTTACCTGCCCGACCACGTGGGTTTTCTCTGGGTATTCTGGCTCCCTCCCTTACTAAGACCCACCCCCGCGCTTACATCCTGGCAGGCAAGAGAGACCAGTATAAGTTGTAAAAAGGCTTCATAATTGTTGTAAAATAATTAAATATATCACAACTAATTATTTGTCTGGTTATAGGTAAGAAAATATAAAACATTAAAAAATATAACGATAATTTCGAATATAAAACACGACTTGTTATTTACACTTAAAGACCGCTTTATCGTTCAATGAAAACACGGTATAGGTATGGATGTAAAAGTATCAAAAAGGAAACAGAAATAACATTTTCAATACAACAATATTATACCGATTTAGAATTAGAAATATAGCAACTATCATGTACATGTACAGCAAATAACACACATGTGACAGTACCACTGACTTATATTATTGGGACTATCTGGGGTTTTAATCTTACATGTATCGCCAGTTTAATTAAATATTGATAAGTACTTTGTTTTGTTAAACGTTGATACAACTAAATATTGTTGAATTTTTAGGCTTGGAATTTTACAAAAAGTGATGATTTCAAATTCGTATAATTACAGCGGGCACAATAAAACACTGGGCAAATATTAGTAGGATTTTCAAACATAAATAAGCTGTTGGCTTTGGAGATACCGCGGACTCCTGGACTGAACCGGTATCAGTCGTCCAACATAAGCCCATTAATCGTGTAGGTATTGTTATTATAAGGATGCAACACAGTAAAGGTGTATCCTTTTCAATAAGAAACAAAGACTGAAGCACCGCAACTATAATCCACATGTACGATGTACATTTCAGTGGTAGGGTCGGTCGGGGAACAGTCTCAAAAAGCGGCAGCTATCCTACTGGGTTCTCGTCGAATGACAAACAACCATTTTCTAACATACTCTCGTATTTTTTTTCAATTACAAAATATTTGTTATAGGTGCGCCGAGGTTGGGTAATGTAAACTCTGGGAATCCAAAGCGAGACGGACAAAATGACACAGCAGTTCGTGGCGTTTTTGGCAGATTATGATCAATTTCTTACTCTACGTTAGTGACGCGTCATAAGCCTTTCATGTTACGTCATCTGTCAACATTTTTCAATAAATTCCTGTCAGAAAATTACACGTTGTTCTTGTTAGTAGCATTTACATGAACATAATTCTCTAAGGTTCAGTTATTGAGATATCAGTTTTCATCTCCGTATCAAATTTACTGTTGACGTCTTTCCTATAGGACACAATGGCCAATTAACTCATTATGGTTGAAAATCTAAGAAATGGATGATAATATCAACTTGATTGACGGAAGCGTTGGATAATTCTGCAGATGTATGCAAAATGTCGTTAAAATGGAACAAAAAACGAAGCCAGTTGAAATTATTGACCCCCCACCCCCACCCCCACCCTCANACATCTTTCATACATTTCTACATATTTATAAATCATTTTAAAGACAATCGGAAATGTTATAAAAACAAAATTTGATATACCGTGAAATAGAATTTCCCACATTTTTATTTCGTATTCCTTTTATACTTTTTCTTAAAATGAATAGCAAATTCGAAGAATTATTTGTTCTGATATAATCAGGATAAATTTAAACATTAAAAACGACCTGCATAAATATTAAGCGGAATATCTTATAATTTCTTCAAAATCAGCTAACGAAATAATATTGCAGTATTTTGAAATAAAACTATCCTTAATGAAATTAAAATTTCGTTCCATTTCATCACAAAAGACATAATTAAAATTCATGAAATAGATGTAGAAATGCATATATATATGGAATATGTAACAATAACAAGATCATCGCTATTACCATCCAATAACAATATTGGGAAAATACTGTACTTTTGGCCCCTACTTGTGTTTTGTTGGTTTAGACACACTCATCCCAACGTAATGCCCACTGGAGTTAATTTATTTAAAACGACACAATGCGGCAGCCACTCGTTTACTTTTATGACGTCTGAACGTTAACTTACGTGTGGTTTACGGCAGGTATTTGTTGGCGTAAGTTACGTGAGGTTTTGGGCTTCACTTATGGGTACTCGTAACTTATTTACGTGCTCTCGTAACTTATGTGTGCGTCATGAAACGGACCGAAAAACGTTAGTACGGTTTACGGGTACCCGTAACTTTACGCACGCGTCGTGAAACGGCACCATGGTTTGGTGACGTACGTCTTCCGGACACTATACAACAGGCGGACACTATCCTACGTGTATAATAAAAAAACACTCCCCTGCCCCCGGGGATATGTACATACCCTTTCTGTGGATATATAGCTATTCCGTGTGGCTTGTCCAGACCTGTGTTAATGATTTTCTTATAGAAGTTGTCCGTACTGTTGAGAGCGACAAGAGTTATCCAGTTATAATTAGCGTCCGCGAAGTACATGTTATTAGATATCCAGTCCACTACCACTCCATCTACTTCGTTCGACGTGCTGGTGAAAACTGTCCGGGTGGAAACGCTCCCATTGAGGGTCAGTCCCTGTATTCTTTTATTACTGCTCTCCGTCCAGAACAGAATTTCCATGTCATAATGGAAGGCGACACCTCGGAACTGCCACCCGGTATGGGGCGCACTAATATGTCTGACGGTAACATTTGCTGTCGGGACCCACTCTTCCGGATCTCCTTCTATCGCCATTATCCTGGAAACTCCGTTACCACTCGCGGGATGCATCGCCCATATTAGGTTACGGCCATGGCGAACTGTTAAAATGGAAAGTGTTTGGTTATTAGGACAAAAAAAAACCATACAAAATAATCAAATCATAAACGTTTTACTTGGTCACTTGTTCACAAGGTCACTAATATGTACTTTTTTTCAACTATATATCGACGAATGAATTGTGAAGCTTGTAACAGTCCTTTTACTCAATATACGTTATAACAATCCCAGAGAGACAGACAGAGACAGGGGAGGTATTGCATGATAGATCCTTGTACCAATGCAAAATATGTGTCTAAGTGCTGGAAAGTGTGTTTACCGTAATAATTTTATAGCTTTGAAAATCGTTTCTGAAAAGAAGACACTGCCTTACGGGACTTTTAATAGACACAAAGTAAAGATGAAATACACAAAATATAATCAACAAGTGTCCTTGCCATACTGTTATACAGTTATATCGGGGGGGGGGGGGGGGGGGGATACTGTATATAGGGAAAACCACCATGCAGTAGGACAGTGATCCTTAAGGTATAGCTAAATATTAGCTTGTATTGCAATAGTGTAGTGTTTAACGTTGATAAACTTCGCCGTAAAGAAGTATATTAGGATGAAAGCTTCACGAAAATATTTACAATGTGTTATATACATAAACAATTGACAGGACATTTACCTTACAGTTATATGGGTTATATGTGTTTTTTAAAGGGGCATCACGCTGAAGTAACTTTTTTGTGTCTTTTTTTCAAATACTACATAAACATATCAAGTGAGACTCCTTATGGAAAATAACGATCGAATTTGGCTGAAATAGATTCAAAAAAATGATTAAATCTAAGATAATCATCGGTATTTCAACCTGTCGTTCAGGGATTTCCCTCTACTAGCGCATGCGCATAGCACACCATTTCTTTGTAAACAAAATGACTGGCCGTGTACAAGTAAGCGAAAGAAAAGTGTTGTACCGTGTCAGCTACGAAGCGAAAAGTTACCAAATGGTCAAAAGATAGCACAAGGGGTACGTTACGGAATCATTATTGCCAGTGGGAAGTATTCAAAGCAGAAAACAAATGCCCTAGCAGTTAGTACGGTGCATGTATTCTTCCGGATTGCCGGTTAAGCTGAAATGAAATCGACAGAAATGCTAGCGTTGTTTATGTTATGAATAAATGTCTAAAACTATAAACCTCGCTAGTATCTTTGTCTGCGTTTGAATACAGATGAACTTAGTGTAATATGTTAATGGGCAAGTATCAGAGAGAGTTTACATTGTGTTTCTATAATTATACAGTGGTGTATGCGAAAGGAAGGGATAAGTGACTGGTTAGTTTGATTTTTCCATGAGGCCCTCCAAGGGATAACTGTTGTGATGGCCACGGCGTATTCTGTTCTGTCCTCTGTCGGTACTCTGGGTCAAATGAGATACGTGCGCTATTAGATTTACATAATTTATAATATTACCGGGATAAGTAAAATGGTATGATTTAATCATATTGCTGAATTAAACATTTTTTTATTTTATTTTTGACATCCAAGATTTAAATTAGTACTAATATGAATACCCCGGCCTTCTCTGGCGCGACGACGCAATATTTAAAAAAAACGCTCTTCGTCAGAAAGCTACGTTATCGCAGCTAGATTCAAAATGTCAAAATGACAGACTAGGATTAAAATCGTAATTTTTCAACAGTTCATGTTTTCATATGATGTTGACTTAGAATGTATGATCATGTAACAACCTTTTCTCTATAAAGAATTAATTTTCGACTTCAGGTAGAATCGGAATACGTATTAAAAACAGAGGAAAACATATTTTATTACGTTGTAAAAATGGCGCGTACTGCCGATAACTATGACTTCTGTTTCGGACAAAAGGAACTGATTAAAGAAAAGTTGTCTCAACATAAAAAAGGTCCATTTACAAGTATGCTTAATCTCTGTAAAGTATTGAAAAAATGTAATTATCAAATATCTCAACACTTTCCATATCTGACACATATTGTACATGTACACGTAGTGGTTTTGCCCTACAGTTTATTGTGTGTGATGGCTAATATGACTTACTAAGTGTTAGCGTATGGAGACAGTGAAAGTGGGAAAGAGAGTATACATACAATATAGCATGGTCTAGAAAGAAAAAAATTGGCCAAAGACTTGCGTCTGTCTCTGCCCCAAGGGACAACATGATAGCCATAAATACAATGACTCGTGTGGGCGGATTGATCGAGTCGTTAGCACTCCAGCCTTCCACGCAGGCGGCCGAGATTCGACCCCGAATTCGTCGTCATATGGATATTCAGAGAAAGTGTTTTTCTCCTGCCCACACAACTCCAACAACCCAGGAGTATAAACTGGTCTTGGGTGGATGTTGCGGTATCTGTGCTGTAGCATTTAAGTGAGGTGGCACTATAAATGATGGCATTGGAAGCACGGTCCCACTACAAACAGAACACAATACATCTCCAGGACACACGCAGGCATGCACACATTGGAAGATATTAGCAAGGTGGCATAGGACTAGTAGTTAGCACCTGATAAAGCAGCTCCTGCGAATTCCTCAAAAATTGTGTTGATTAATGTATATGCTAATTGTATTAATTGTATATCTATGTACTGTAAAGCACTTTATAGTGGCTTATATAAGCTATACATGGCGCTCATATCAAATGCTGTATATTATTATTTATTATTAAGCATCAATATATAAGCACTCTGTTATCAGAGTTAGCTTATCCCATGGGTCATCACACGGGAATGGTTGAATTTCCCCATCCCATACAGAAGACAGATACCCGGACACGTGACTGTAATGGTCAAGGCACAGATCTATATATGAACAGATCTAGATATACGGGCAAGTGATTGTACTGGTCAAGTCACAGGTTTCGAAGTGGACAGATAGTATGAAAATGGGACTGCGCTGTATTTAAAGCAAACCCCACGATTAGTGATAAACTAGTATGCGGTTCATTTTGCAGTATGGAACAAAAAAACATTCTTGTAGGTACACTTTACTGGAGTGCTCTTACCATCTCCTATTTTTACTTTGGCAATTAATATTTATATTTATATACTCCACGATGATAATTTGTCTCTTATGTCATCAACATATCGTGATAACGTGGTATTGTATGTGTTATGATATCACTGTGATTTAAACCCGGACACCCAGACACGTGTAAACACGTGTATTAATGCAGGATGTAATTAACTCCGAAAATAGAACAGGAAGTGATCCGACTTTTTTTTACAAGTGCTTAAAACTACACCAGACAGGCATGTCGCAACTCTTACTAGAATGCACCGTACAAGTTGTTGTACCACAGGCATCCTCGACATACCAGGGGTCGCTCTCTCTCTTACTAAAATACACCGTACACGTTGTTGTAACACAGGTATCCTCGACATACAAGGGGTCGCTCTCTCTTACTAGAATACACCGCACACGTTGTTGTACCACAGGTATCCTCGACATACCAGGGGTCGCTCTCTCTTACTAGAATGCACCGTGCACGTTGTTGTTCCATAGGCATCCTCGACATACCAGGGGTCGCTCTCTCTTACTAGAATACACCGAACACGTTGTTGTACCACAGGCATCCCCGACATACCAGGGGTCGCTCTCTCTTACTAGAATGCACCGTGCACGTTGTTGTACCCACAGGCATCCTCGACATACCAGGGGTCGCTCTCTCTCTTACTAGAATACACCGTTCACGTTGTTGTACCACAGGCATCCTCAACATACCAGGGGTCGCTCTCTCTTACTAGAATACACCGGACACGTTGTTGTACCACAGGCATCCTCAACATACCAGGGGGCGCTCTCTCTTACTAGAATACACCGTACACGTTGTTGTACCACAGGCATCCCCGACATACCAGGGGTCGCTCTCTCTTACTAGAATGCACCGTTCACGTTGTTGTACCCACAGCCATCCTCAACATACCAGGGGTCGCTCTCTCTTACTAGAATACACCGTATACGTTGTTGTACCACAGGCATCCTCGACCTACCAGGGGTCGCTTTCTCTTACTAGAATACACCGTGCACGTTGTTGTACCACAGGCATCCTCGACATACCAGGGGGCGCTCTCTCTTACTAGAATACACCGTATACGTTGTTGTACCACAGGCATCCTCGACATACCAGGGGTCGTTCTCTATTACTAGAATGCACCGTGCACGTTGTTGTACCACAGGCATCCTCGACATACCAGGGGTCGCTTTCTCTTACTAGAATACACGGTGCACCTTGTACCACAGGCATCCTCGACATACCAGGGGTCGCTCTCTCTTACTAGAATACACCATACACGTTGTTGTTCCACAGGCATCCTCGACATACCAGGGGTCGCTCTCTCTCTTACTAGAATACACCGTGCACCTTGTCGTACCACAGGCATCCTCGACATACCAGGGGGCGCTCTCTCTTACTAGAATACACCGTACACGTTGTTGTTCCACAGGCATCCTCGACATACCAGGGGGCGCTCTCTCTTACTAGAATACACCGTACACGTTGTTGTACCACAGGCATCCTCGACATACCAGGGGGCGCTCTCTCTTACTAGAATACACCGTACACTTTGTTGTACCACAGGCATCCTCGACATACCAGGGGTCGCTCTCTCTTACTAAAAAACACCGTTCACGTTGTTGTACTACATGCATCCTCGACATACCAGGGGTCGCTCTCTCCTACGTTCTGTCTCGAAAACCCTGATAGTCTGAGGATGTAGCACAGTGAACAGACATGTTGATACAGGGGATCTATAACACTCTATTCGTTCGACTACATGGATGTACCTGTATCATGTTTATGTTAATATAACAGGTTCCTGTCACACATCTGGATTTTTGTAAACAAGTCACACGAAAATGGCACAGCTTTTTAACACTAACACATTCACGCGAACTTTGATGCAGAAAGGAACAAAGACAGGTTACTACGAGAACGTAGTTACTTTTGTACTTAGACTTTGGTGTGCAGTAAATGACTCAGATTTTACAATGAAGAAGTTTTCTTATTTTGACATTTAACACATTCTGTTTGTTTTATGTCTTATTAGGAATCACACTTTTTAGGACAAAGACATAGAAAGGGCAATTCTCTCCAATACGATAAAAGATTTAGAGGTTATTTTCACGAAAGTGAATGTAAAAACAACATAAAACTACGCATGCGTAACAGGCGATTAAGGGATTGCTAGACAGTCCCTAATCCTATTCCTCTGTTCCTTTCGTTGAAGTTGTTATGCTCACGTTGAAGTTGTTATGCTCAGGTTGAAGTGGTTATGCTCACGTTGAAGTTGTTATGCTCACGTTGAAGTTGTTATGCTCACGTTGAAGTTGTTATGCTCACGTTGAAGTGGTTATGCTCACGTTTAAGTTGTATACATAGTGTCATACGTCAAAATATAAAAATTACAACAACATTTATCGATTTTTAAGAAAATACTTCCCGCCAAATAACCGACAGCTAACGCGAATAAAGAACATAACATATAACGTCAGACATCTATTTTTCCCTATAAAACAATTATCCAGAAATAGCAATGTTATGATCTTAAACTGAATGTACTAACGCACGGGAAGTGACGAACTTAAGAAAAGCTGAGTGTTATGAAAAGTGGACAGTGTTACTAGTGTCCAATCCCTTTTGTACATTAGATGCAAATAAACGTATGTTTAAATCAAACTAACGCTTTTTCTCGGAAAAAAACAATCCAACGGGAAACTTTCATTTAAACAGAGTGTTTGGAAAAGATGTTATCGTCCGACACATATTAAAATAACGATACTCTCTAGGACGGGAAATCAAAGTACAATAGTACATTCAATCCTCACTTTTGCTGTCCATTATTAATAAGTCATATATCCTTGTGTCATCAGGCAAGTCTTATGTTTATTTGTGCCGTCACTATACTTTGTGTTGTATTTTTGTGTCGTCATCATAGTCGGTGATGAAACTTTGTGTCATCACCGTAGTTAGTGTTGTATCTTTGTGTTGGAATCATAATCAGTGATTTTTGTTTGTGTCGTTTGTGTTAGGGATGTATCCTTGTGTCGTCATCATAGTTAGTGATGTATCCTTGTGTCGTCATCATAGTTAGTGATGTATCCTTGTGTCGTCCTCATAATTAGTGATGTATCCTTGTGTCGTCATCATAGTTAGTGATATATCCTTGTGTCGTCATCATAGTTCATGATATATCCTTGCTTCGTCATCATAATCAGTGATATATCCTTGCTTCGTCATCATAATCAGTGATGTATCTTTGTGTCGTCATTAGAGTTAGTGACATATCATGGATGTTCTCGTCTATGTTGGTAGGTATTTTTGTTTGGTCTCCATGGTTAGTGCTTTGCCTTTGTTTTTTTTATCTAATGCAGTGTACAGAATATATATCTTTTTGCGGGATCTCTAAGATGTTACAGCGTCCTCATGTTGTTCTAACATAAATGGATACAGTATACAACAGCTTAACTTGGGGGAGGGGGGGCGACATTAAGGTCACTCAGTATGTAAATTGTTTCATCTATAATGAAGTTCGGCATTACACCAATTATGACACAGTTTCTGCCCTTGTCTTTAAGTATGCTATCTGAACTCTGACCTTCGGGGGGAGGGGCACTTGACATAGTTTTAGTAGGATTAACGTATATACTTTGATACTACCAGAAGCACAGGACCGTGGACAGATGCCAAACAACCCTGATCTCTATTTTTGTTTTCAGATTTACTATGTAAACATTAAATAGTTCCTTTCAAGACACAGAGAAATATTCAATTATATTAACCGTTAAATTCTAATAATTATTTTAAAGTTACGTTCTTTCATTATTATTCACTGTAAAAGATTTCCCGCAATTTTGCAGTTACAGCTTTGTATTCTTAACATAGGTTTTGAATCTGGAACATCTTAAACACATACTAAGATAATTGGAAATTCTCGTTAGACAATTGTCGTGCTAAGCATAGTGTATGAACATGTCCTTAAATTTAGCTGGTATAAAATAGCACACCACAGTAATTATCAACATACATACCTGCATCTGAAGTCAATATAATCCCAAGTAAAAACATAAAAATATTATTATAATTCCTCGACATTTTGTCTTCTCCTTGTCCTGTTTCTTTCAGTGGGAGGGGTACATTTCACCTCTACTAGTAACAACACTGACGTTAAGGGGAGTTGCTTTAAGTTCGAGTTGACAAGTCGTAATACGGGGCTAAGTCTAAAGTACGAAACGAACGCGTAGAGCCGGAAACGTCGACTAAGGACAACATCCGTTTCTAGCGAGAGAGTGACAATAAATACGGGCTTACAATCGATAGGACTTAGATCACTGATGGAAATCGTCTTATTCTCAGAATTAACGCTAACTTTAGATTATGTATGTTGTGGTTGTCAATCACATATAACTTTTTTTAAATGGAAATGATTCAAAAAAGGAATATGCAAGTAGAAGTTAGAAACTGTTGTTCAGGTGAGAGAAGTAAAACCTCATTTAAGACAGTTCACTGATTATTCTTCCTGTCTCGTTTCTGCATTTGGTGACATATTCAATGTTGCAGTTTTCCCAATCTTCACATGTCTAATAAGGGGTGGATTATGTATAGGAAAGATATTTGTTCGGCTGGCTTTACATTTTATGTTTTCCTTATATTAAGATGTATTGAACTACTTTATCATCATACTGATATTAAGATTCCATTTTTTGTCGTCATGCAGCTATGTTTACATCTAGATATAAGTGTGGGTTTTTTCCCGGATGCCAGTCCCAGTTGACTCCCTCGTTCCTGTTTTCATCCGTCCGCCGTCTCCCGTATCGGCGGCAAATCGGTTGCGAATCCCTTGTGATGAGACTAACCTCTAATGTTAGTCTGTGTATGTCGATCTATTTCCATACATAGAGAACGATATGTTTTCTCCTGGTACTCCGGCTTTTCTCCTGTATTTGTCTTGCCCTTGTATTACACGTGAAGATATTTGAAATCTTACCCTCTTTAACAATTTAGCCTGAATTCCATCCTATATTTCCGTAATAACTTACCAGTAACCACCTTATTTGTTAGTTACACAACCTTTATTCCCCAAACACTCAACAGGTGGGTTTTTCAAAATCAAGCAGCATATATCAGACTTTTGAATTTCTTTGAAAAACCAACCAGAGAGCGTCGTGAAAATATGTGACAGTTCTTGTGTAATTAAGGCTACATTCGACTTGCATTGAATTCACAGTACACCGTATTACCATATAACATGTTATGTTTCTCTGATTAGTGTAACATTGATAATTAATGTGAATGAGTTACCCAGACAACTGACTAGTGGAATAAGTCTATTTTTTAACCTCATGTGCATCGCCTATAAAAACAAACAAATAATAATGAAACACTGGTATGAATCTCTCATGGTCGATGACTTTCGGTATTTTAACAGTATTAAAAATATTTTAATATCAACACATGAAATGATAACATTACATCCTTGCATAAAAAAAAACAATAAAGAGAACAAAGACTGTGTACCTTTAAGTAACACAAGTGACGCTGAAGAGCTGTCTCGTGTTGTTACCGAGTGTGACTACGTGTATTATTATGCCGACTTTTAGAGTGGTATATTAACCTGTTAAATTAAAAGCCTGGACCAAGTGTTTACATATTTATTCAGCTGTTAAATATTTGAAACATTAAAGGTGTTTATTATTTTATCATTTATCTAACTGAGCTATACGTGATTGCGCGTAACTCTCTGCGTGTTTCAGGTGTAGTGACATCATCCCGTTACTTGTATCTGGAGCCTCACCCTCATACAGTTTGTCGTTTACATATATAGCTTGTCTCTAACCAATCTGATGATTGACCTTTCACCAGAGCTCTGATTGAGGCGTTTTATGACAGGGTAGAATTTCTTGCGGCGATCGTCAATAACGGCGGGAAAATGTTCATGAAATCCGTATCGCGTACCCTGCAACTTGAGTGAGTTTTTCTTTACTCTCAAGTTGGATGTAATTTCAGTAAATAAACCTAGCCACAATAGGTCTCTTTCCGACGTATATGTCTACTAAAGCAAGAAGTCAAAAAGGTAACTTGTCTATCAAATGAGAACTCTCCTGTAGTTTTTCATACACCCTTAATTTCGTCTCGGCTATAACTGTTGTCGGGCCGGACCAAGTGACAACCACTAATTACGCACCTCAGCTGGTAAGAACGAATATTTGTGACGTGTGATCTAGTTACACTCAGAGCAATGTTAATCCGTTGTTAATATCTTTAATTAAATTATTTTTTTCGTAAAAAGTTTCGCAAGGTTCGGGTTTCTTTTCATAAATTAGTTATTAAATCTTTTGTCTTGTAAGTTTCTAATTCACCGTTTTTGGTAATGGTACGACGATCGTTAAGAAAAACATTCTGTCTAAGTCTACTGGTTTGTGTGTGCGTTCGGGTTTTCCTTTCATAATGTTGGTAAGGCGTCCCATTTAACTATACTGTGACCTGTCCTTGAGGTCTTCTTATTGATGTATGTATTAACTAGTCCCTCTGTTTGCATTCAATAAATGCAATGATGTTTATGATTTCATGTTTTTATCAAGTTAAATCATCAACAATAACCTAGATTGATCAGAATAGCTGAATACATAGCCTCTTCACTCTAGTGCATTGTGTATGACTGTATTGATGATATGTAGGTCTCTACTGACTGCGGTAAAGACAATAGAAAGGTTTTTGTTTCTCTGCTGATTGTGGAATAATATACTAATGATACAGGTATAGCATTTCTCTTCTACTGATACAGGTATAACATTTCTCTTCTACTGATACGGGTATGACATTTCTCTTCTACTGATACGGGTATGACATTTCTCTTCTACTGATACGGGTATGACATTTCTCTTCTACTGATACAGGTATAGCATTTCTCTTCTACTGATACAGGTATAACACTTTTTCTTCTACTGATACAGGTATAACATTTCTCTTCTACTGATACAGGTATGACATTTCTCTTCTACTGATACAGGTATAACATTTCTCTTCTACTGATACAGGTAATATGAAAAAGCAAAGCCTTAAAAGAGCGAAGCTTTTGTTGTTCTCTGATATATACTGATTCAGAATGAGATAATACTGCTTTCAGAATGAGGTAAGATAAAATTTGTTTAAAGTCGGCTAGTCGAGGGATAACAATAAAAGTCTGTTTTGGGAAGTATGGCAGCACGTCCGTTTTTGAACATTATTTAATTTTCCCTGACGGCTGATCGGATGGCCGAACGTTCTCCGCCAGGGGATAAGTTCGGACAGGCATTCTGGTTAATTCGGACCCACTGGAATCATGCAACGTCAGATTTTACCGCCAATTTTACGACTTTTTATGTGTTACATGGGCCGAACTTGCCACGGTATCATTGGCCGAAACTGTCCGGGCCCAAATTGATATTTCAATAAATTCTTATCGTACAGCAATATGGTATTGAGTGATTGGCTTGGCTTTGATGTATATCATTTGAAGCTGTCAGTGTGCTACACGTTTGACCGTAAAAGAATAGCAATTCCGTTCACAGAAAATTCGCATAACTAGAAGCGAGATCATGATTTTGTTTCTACCCTCTCAAAAGTAATTTTCTCCTGTTTAGTAATTTTACATTAGAGTTTTCCTCTCCATTTTTTCGTGTGAATGCCAAGCCAACTTAACTGCTAAGATCTTTAAAGTTGTAAATATTAGTACAAAAACAAAAATATCAGGGGTGGCCGAACTTGCCCCGGTCTCCCCGTATGTAGATTTTTTGAAGAATTAAGAATTAAAACCTCTGCGTGTTTCCGTTAGGTACAATGATTGAAATGAGTTGAGGAAAAACTGTTTTGTAATTGCTATAGAAAAAAGTGCATATTATATATTTGACGATAAGTCTATAAAAGTAAATGTATAAAAAAAAAACAAAAAAAAAACCCACATTGTTATACTTTGATGTAACTGAAATTGTCGTTATATCGATATATAGTCTGAATTCCTGAAACACTGGATTGAATTTCAGGTTTTATAATTGTCACTGAGGTTTGACAGGTAATGATGCCAAATAAAATTAAACAGTTTCTCTCTGTAACTAGTTATATTTACATTTGCATGGCATTGTCACTATATAGCCTCTTTGAGAGCTGTGTCGTTGATGGGACTTTAATTACCATAACGCACGAGACATAATTACCATGCCGCACGAGACACAATTCTAAGCGTATTAATTACAACACTGACCGGAACTACAATATTTAATGTAAATAAACATGACGGGTGCTGAAATATTGCTGGGCATTGTGAGATTTGATAATGTCATTGTAACTTTATGTGCAAAATAAAAAATAAAATAAAAAACACTTTTATTTCAACGAAAACAAGACCAAGGTCTGCAATATCGTACAAAATGCACATTGGTTGAAAACACCAACGCCGGCAATGGAAACAATTTTAACGCTCATGCAATTTATCAGAAATATCGTCTGTTACACTGCACTGATCAACAGGGGTTCGTTATAAATGTCTGAAATACACATATTCTATAGACCTACTGACACATATGTTACAGACCTACTGATGAGTCACAGCACACATAAACATTCGTCATTTCAGACATTTGTAACGAACCTGTGCTCCGTCGCNAGGGACGCTATACACAGCGGATTGGTGATCGCCGACTTTGAAGAAGGAGAAAATGGTGAGGATCAGGACGAGACACAAATGAAGACTTATGCCGTACATGGGGTAGTGAACCAAAGACTCAAGAGCAAGGTGTCGTTCACGGACGCCGTTGATGACGGTCTGCTGGACCGAAAGGATGGTCAATACGTGAACAATGTAACAGGGGACAAAGTTCCTGTTCAGGAAGCAATCATGAGAGGCTTCATCAAAGCTAGGCTTGTGACCGACACCTCGAAACTCGATATCGACCCATCAAATAACATCGTCATAGACAGGATCGAAAAGGCCAGGTCCAAGATCCTCTCTGCTGTCAGATCTGCGCATGCGTTCAAAGGGTTGACTAATGGTAAACATTAATCAAGCTATTTTTCATTGACATGGTGACTTAATCGGTTCTACTAAAAACACTCGTTTCCGAAAGCATATGAACAACCGTAGTATATAGAGATTGGAGTTTGTGTACATTTTTGCTTTACAAAACAAAAACTTGATTTAGTTCACGCATTTTAAGCGAACATATGATATATTGATAAAAGCAGTAAGGCATGCTTTGAGAGAAGAAAACAACAGTGCCCTGACCAATGACAATTGTTTCGCCGTTTTCGATTGAAGTGGATACATAACATCATACAAGCAATTATATTTATTATTTCGATTTTTTTTCAAGTCATGATCTCAATTGCCATTTGCAAAGATCTTGAAAACAATATATGAAATAAATATATATATAATATATACATTATAGATTAAAATAAATGTGAAACACCATGGGAAAACACGAACACGTACTTTTTTACGGATATATAAAGAATGAAGTTTGTAACATGACTTACATAAATATATATATTCACAACAGAGCTTATCGTCTCTATATGTTATATATATATCTTCCCAGCGCGTCGTCATACATTTATACCTGGTATTTCATATCTAATCATTATAATGTGATTTAATTTTTAATGATTTGTTAATAAAATAAATTCATGAAAATATGACAAGTTATATTAATTAATTTTGCTTGTTTTCCCCAAAAGTATGTGACATTTTCAAACATTTTTGTGAGATGTTCTTGCTAGAACTATTCCGACGTCTTTCTGTTATTTTGAGTAAACTATCAAGACGCTCATAATTGTATCGCCTGCGAAAAGCTGGTGACACATAGGTATTGCTATGTCGGCGTCGGCGTTCGTGCAATAACTTGAGTTTCCTTGGGCCGATCAAACTCAAACTTCATGCAGTGCTTCCTTACCAAAAGTGCTTGCTTGGGATTGCTTTTAAGGTTCAAAGGTCAAAGGTCAAGGTCACTGTAACAATAAATAGAAAATCTGTTTTCGTGCGATTACTTGAGTTTCCTTGGGCCGATCAAACTCAAACTTCATGCAGTGCTAAGCATACTTGCATTTTCAAGAATTTTTTGATGGATACCAATGAGGCGATGTATTTCCCCGTAATCTCCCAGCTTCCTGCGCAGGCGACACATCCACTTCCGTGGAATTCTTGTTCTTTATACACGTAATCCCTTTACGTCTTGAACATGATCTAAACGGGACATTACATCTTACATAGACATGTTTTCATGAGAGCGTAGTTCGGCACCCGAGCGAAGCTCTTTAGTGCTAACACATGCGTGCGTAAACAGAGTTGCTTCTCCTTTCTACACATTGCCTTTATTTATTTTTCGTCCAGAAGAAGACGTCCAGTGGGGAAACAGGAAGGGTATCCTTGAAGCAAAGACAATTGTGTTTCAATCCATGCATGAACATCTTCATATAGTGAAAACAATACCCATGTTTTATTACTCATTTATTTAGGTAAAAACTAATATACATTCGGAGTGAAAAAAATCGATCACATAAATGATACCAGCAGGCATGAAACGTCGTTCAGAGATTATCATACTATGACGTCATAAGCACGTCATACTCCATCGGCCTTCATCGGTTATTTCCGGGAAGGTAAAATATAACCGGAAAATTTTGGAACTGACAGTCGTTGCATTTATCTCTTTGTCGGTGCTTCATGACTTTTTAATTTGAGTTTTTGCCACAGGCATAACAAGTAAAAACGCGGATGTTTTCTGAAGATCCTTTTTGTCATCAACCATGTCCTGTTAAAATTTTCTACCGGGAGATATTTTCCAAAAGAGCCGCATTAAACCATTAGGTCAACATGTACATTTTTTTTTCATCGTCAAAAATTTCATCAGCTTTTGATTTCGATTTGTTGAGAATATGAACGAAATAATTAACATTTTTGAAAGTATGGTTATAGTCTTTATATAATTTATGTATGCATCCCCACTCATAAAAGAAACAATGGATAATTAATGTATGTCGAAATCAACAATAATTGTCCAGACAACGAATCCGAGTTCAACGACATTTTTCAACAACGTATACTTTTTTCACATGTCGATTTATATAAGTATTGAACTGTTTTTGTATGATATTTATGATCTATTTGAATGACACAGCTTTGCAAGCAAACAAATCATAATGCGCTAGCGCGCATTATGATTTGTTTGCTTGCAAAGCTGTGTCATTCAAATAGATCATAAATATCATACAAAAACAGTTCAATGCTTAAATAAATCGACATGTGAAAAAAGTATACGTTGTTGAAAAATGTCGTTGAACTCGGATTCGTTGTCTGGACAATTATTGTTGATTTCGACATACATTAATTATCCATTGTTTCTTTTATGAGTGGGGATGCATACATAAATTATATAAAGACTATAACCATACTTTCAAAAATGTTAATTATTTCGTTCATATTCTCAACAAATCGAAATCAAAAGCTGATGAAATTTTTGACGATGAAAAAAAAATGTACATGTTGACCTAATGGTTTAATGCGGCTCTTTTGGAAAATATCTCCCGGTAGAAAATTTTAACAGGACATGGTTGATGACAAAAAGGATCTTCAGAAAACATCCGCGTTTTTACTTGTTATGCCTGTGGCAAAAACTCAAATTAAAAAGTCATGAAGCACCGACAAAGAGATAAATGCAACGACTGTCAGTTCCAAAATTTTCCGGTTATATTTTACCTTCCCGGAAATAACCGATGAAGGCCGATGGAGTATGACGTGCTTATGACGTCATAGTATGATAATCTCTGAACGACGTTTCATGCCTGCTGGTATCATTTATGTGATCGATTTTTTTCACTCCGAATGTATATTAGTTTTTACCTAAATAAATGAGTAATAAAACATGGGTATTGTTTTCACTATATGAAGATGTTCATGCATGGATTGAAACACAATTGTCTTTGCTTCAAGGATACCCTTCCTGTTTCCCCACTGGACGTCTTCTTCTGGACGAAAAATAAATAAAGGCAATGTGTAGAAAGGAGAAGCAACTCTGTTTACGCACGCATGTGTTAGCACTAAAGAGCTTCGCTCGGGTGCCGAACTACGCTCTCATGAAAACATGTCTATGTAAGATGTAATGTCCCGTTTAGATCATGTTCAAGACGTAAAGGGATTACGTGTATAAAGAACAAGAATTCCACGGAAGTGGATGTGTCGCCTGCGCAGGAAGCTGGGAGATTACGGGGAAATACATCGCCTCATTGGTATCCATCAAAAAATTCTTGAAAATGCAAGTATGCTTAGCACTGCATGAAGTTTGAGTTTGATCGGCCCAAGGAAACTCAAGTAATCGCACGAAAACAGATTTTCTATTTATTGTTACAGTGACCTTGACCTTTGACCTTTGAACCTTAAAAGCAATCCCAAGCAAGCACTTTTGGTAAGGAAGCACTGCATGAAGTTTGAGTTTGATCGGCCCAAGGAAACTCAAGTTATTGCACGAACGCCGACGCCGACATAGCAATACCTATGTGTCACCAGCTTTTCGCAGGCGATACAATTATGAGCGTCTTGATAGTTTACTCAAAATAACAGAAAGACGTCGGAATAGTTCTAGCAAGAACATCTCACAAAAATGTTTGAAAATGTCACATACTTTTGGGGAAAACAAGCAAAATTAATTAATATAACTTGTCATATTTTCATGAATTTATTTTATTAACAAATCATTAAAAATTAAATCACATTATAATGATTAGATATGAAATACCAGGTATAAATGTATGACGACGCGCTGGGAAGATATATATATAACATATAGAGACGATAAGCTCTGTTGTGAATATATATATTTATGTAAGTCATGTTACAAACTTCATTCTTTATATATCCGTAAAAAAGTACGTGTTCGTGTTTTCCCATGGTGTTTCACATTTATTTTAATCTATAATGTATATATTATATATATATTTATTTCATATATTGTTTTCAAGATCTTTGCAAATGGCAATTGAGATCATGACTTGAAAAAAAATCGAAATAATAAATATAATTGCTTGTATGATGTTATGTATCCACTTCAATCGAAAACGGCGAAACAATTGTCATTGGTCAGGGCACTGTTGTTTTCTTCTCTCAAAGCATGCCTTACTGCTTTTATCAATATATCATATGTTCGCTTAAAATGCGTGAACTAAATCAAGTTTTTGTTTTGTAAAGCAAAAATGTACACAAACTCCAATCTCTATATACTACGGTTGTTCATATGCTTTCGGAAACGAGTGTTTTTAGTAGAACCGATTAAGTCACCATGTCAATGAAAAATAGCTTGATTAATGTTTACCATTAGTCAACCCTTTGAACGCATGCGCAGATCTGACAGCAGAGAGGATCTTGGACCTGGCCTTTTCGATCCTGTCTATGACGATGTTATTTGATGGGTCGATATCGAGTTTCGAGGTGTCGGTCACAAGCCTAGCTTTGATGAAGCCTCTCATGATTGCTTCCTGAACAGGAACTTTGTCCCCTGTTACATTGTTCACGTATTGACCATCCTTTCGGTCCAGCAGACCGTCATCAACGGCGTCCGTGAACGACACCTTGCTCTTGAGTCTTTGGTTCACTACCCCATGTACGGCATAAGTCTTCATTTGTGTCTCGTCCTGATCCTCACCATTTTCTCCTTCTTCAAAGTCGGCGATCACCAATCCGCTGTGTATAGCGTCCCTGATACTGATAACGTCCCCATCTTCTGTGGTATATGTGCCCTTGACGTCGTCTATGATGTTCTTGGCGTTCGCCTGAGCAACTGTTAACTCCTCTTCAGTGCTTGGATCTAGGACTTTCCTTATCTTGAACGGTCGAGTGTCCTTGACCGTCTTTATAGTAATCAGCCCGTAAGATTGGTCCTCCTCTCTAATTTTCTCGCTAGACTGGAACGTAATTTGCACAATACCCCTGTTGATGGCGGCGCCCATGGTCATGGTTTCCTTTGTAACTATATTTACGTACTGATTGGTCGCCTGGTCTATGATACCGAGAAGGACAGCTTCCTGGGGAGTGATAAAGTCGTTCTTGGTTCGTGGGTCCTTAACAGAACTGATCGTGAACGTCTGTCGTTCTTCCGCCACAGACGACATAACGCTCTCGGTGACAGTCTCCTCGTAATACTCCTCGTACGATTCGTCTTCCTGTTCCTGGTAAGCTGGTGGTCCTGTCTCCTCCATCGTCATGGTGTTCTGAGTAAACTGTTCCTGCACTTCTTCCATCATCATTTCCTCCTCCTTCTTTGGAGGACGAGGAGGGAAGGGCACCCTGGGTGTCTCGTGGAAGGTAACAGCAGTGTCCATTCTGGACAGGTCAGACAGATTGAGATTGACCGTTGTGTCCCAAAACCTGAAAATACATGATCAAAATAATATATATGTTCTATTGATATCCCCTATATATGATTCATGCCGAGATCATCTCGCTTATCTGTATGTTTAGCTTACTATATTCCAATTTCGTACTTTATCTCGTTTGTTTTCAATTTTCCAATCATATATCAATAATATTTCAAAACGTTGAAATTAAAATATTACCGATTTCAAAGATAAGAAACATTTTTAGTACAATTAGCGGCTCTATATACTGTATACCGGTAAGTTTTCGACCAGTCCAATTTTCGCCATTAGACGGTAAAATCCATTTGCGCTCAATAATGAATTCGACCATCACATTTTCTTCCTTAATGTATTATGTTGTTTACATTAATGCTTATTGTAATGATAAATTCGCCCTCATCCCAGAGGGCGAAAATCAAACTGCAGCGAAAATTTCCTGGTATACAGTATATTGTTTGGAATTTTCGCGTTTAGCAATTCAGTCTTACTTGACAAAGTGTGCGGTGGACACGAATCTCAGCTGGTCCCACTTGTCACAGACCAGCAGATGCTTGGGCTCGCGGACCAGCTCTACAATAACCTTGAACGTTTCCCAGTACGCCCAGAAGTCCTAGACAAGAAGAGGAGATCATAATATCATAAGGTAAAAAAACAAAAATATATACAGCAGTGACATCACCTTAACTGACTCGAAAATACAACACATGGAACAACCGAAAAGACACCAAAGCAAAATGAAAGGCAACATGAACCTAACAAAACTCCAGACCTACTGTTCGAGAATGGCGAGCGATTTTTGTTTTTGTTTTTTTACTTTGGTTGAGTTCCGTGTGATTTTTAGTAGCTGTTTTGGGGGTTTCTGGTGATAATCTGATACCAAACAAAAGATACAGTTCAGAATTAATTGTTTATACGTCAAAGGCTTTAAAATAATACCATAATGAAATCAATTCTGTGAGCTTTGTATTTTCCCAACAAATCTCGGATAATAGTATGGAAATGATAATCAAACTAAGGCCTAAATATCTCAGAATCTCTTTAATTCTAATTGTAACTCGGTCATCTAATTATTGCTTATTCATCACATTTTGGGGGCGCTTGTTTTAAATGGTAACACTGTAATCATTGCATTAACTATGAACAGAGCTGTTGTTACAACTGCCGATTGTTGTTCGTACCTTGTACTTGCTGAGAAGGTTATCTAGAGATTTGAGTTGAACAACAGCTGTAAATGGGGAACCCGTACCTGAAAACATACAAATATGTATAATTAATCATTCTTAAAACTAAGAAAAACTTATATACGTCTTGAAAAAAGCCAATGTTAATGTATTAATTAAAAACAATATCATATACATAGGTAATTATCTTGAAAAATAAGAAAACGTTTATAAATATATATATATATGATATATTGAAAAGCGAGACAACGTATATATATATATTCATAATTAGGTAGTGTTGGTATATACATTGAAAATATTTAGTTTTGTTTTTTGTATTTGTCTTAAAAAGGAGAACATATAATATATATTTTTAGTTGTTTTCATGACTTGTCTTGATTGTTGTTGATTTTTACTGTCAACGAACGGGACGACCAATACATTGATATTTTATTTGTAAAGATTTATTTGAAAAATTCTTAGTTACACCTTTCAGGTTATACAAGTTTTCTGTACCTTTTGGTCCTTCCAGTGAAACAGTGTTAACATGACAATGAGACAATTTTGAATCTTCATTATGACATCAATCCTGTCTTTGCCTGCTTAAACTATATCTTCATATCAACACTGTTTCGGATATAAATTGACATAATCATGTAACCTCGATCAAATGAACTTTGAGCTAGATATCACATCGACACTCAATGTTTTTATTAAGACTTTCGACACTTACCATCCTTGTCTCCCTCTTCCAGGATCATGCGCAGTCTAGCGATGCGTTCCTGGAGGTCCTTGAAGTCCCCGTATCCATTCCACGTGTCGTATAACGTTTTCTCGATATTGTTCATAACGCGGATGAGGTCGTTGCGGTCCTTAGGACCCATCCCTTGCAGGCTCTTGATCTGCAGACAAGAGAGTTAATCTTGTTATCTTTCCGTAAGTCTGTACTATTGTGTAAATGACATTGTAATAATAATTTGTTGGAATGGACATTGTTTAGATTGACTGCTTTTTGGAAAAAATATTATTTAATCCATTAACGGAGCCATACGTTCAATTAATGATCTGAAATACTGATTAACTTATCTAAAAAATCAACAAGGAACACAGAGGTGTCAACAAACCAGGAAATCAAAATCGATAAAACCGGGGCATAATACGGGAATACATTAAACGGAGACTCTTGAAAAAGTTCTAAAACCAGGTGATTAGGAAGGGTAAACTAACATCTAGGTCACATCAATATAGTATTAATAACAAAGCGTACAGTTAAATTTTCCTTAGCGGACGATGCAGAGTAAATGAATTCTTGCATAAATATTTAAATGACAGTACAGATAATGTCATTGTGGTACGTAGGGGTAGATATATATAATCTGTCCGACGTTAAATGAGCGGGATCATGGAGCGTTTAGAGCTACACCTAACTGCTTGTGACGGACAATACAGAGACCTGGGCCTTATATATAGCACAACCCTGTGAAGTGCCAAAGTTTATCAAGCAGAAATATGACACTATTGAGAGCTTACACAAGCTTTAACATTATATCGGGAAAGATGTATAAAGAAATGACGAAGACATTCTTCTAACTGAAACGAGGTGCATCACATCCAAGTTTTCCTGTATGTCAGTAATATTTGTTCGGGTTTTTTTCAGTTTTTCATCTACTGTTCATGAAACGGTACTCAGGTTCAAACTCAGACTTTGTGTTCAAGCCCCTTCTCTTATTCCAGTGATAAATAAAAAATATTCACACTTTGACGATTATTTGAAAGACTTAAAGCTGCATACATATATTTACACGTGAGTTTTTGACCGTGTCACAAGATTTAAGCAAGTTACAAAAAGTTGGTTTGTACGCATAATCCATGTCTTAGCATAAAACAGTTTCATGAAAATAGGCCCTTTCAAATTCTCATTTCACAGAAATGTCACACACTTGACATGGTGTCATGACGTTCCACCTGGTACCTTTAACAGGAGAACATGCCTACAAAAGGTGGCAAGGGAATATGTAGGAACGAGAAGAACGTGTTCTACTGACCTCTTCTTCTGACCAGTCTCGAAACACCATCAACATGAAGGCGATCATCTGGTAGCCAAGACGCTTGATGCTCATTGTCCACAGTGCCAGCAGCTGTGTTCTCAACCTAAGGTAAAAGGTCAATGCTAAACATTATAAAATTACTCTTTAGGTTAATATCAATAAAATGTATTATATCAATTTCAAAGTAACTTAAATCGTCATCATTTGTATATCAATAAAAAAAAAATGCGGGTTAGTTCTAGAATGTTTGAAACCCAACCTTAACTGCATTACGAATCATAAGTAGTATTCAAATATGTTTTTCAATATAAATATAAATGCACGAACCTCATTATGGCGTCTATGGCGGGACCAGAAGGCCCTGGGATGACAAATAAGACGGCAGGCACTAGGCATGTCTGTTCCCTGGCATTCTTCACCTGTGACGTCAATCATATTAATTATGAATCGGCTGGGAGGTAAACGTAAGAGCAGTAATTCACCTCTCAGTCGGTAGGCAATTTTAGTCTATACTTTCGTCCTCACAGGAACACTATATGGTATGGTTGTCGTTTTAATCATTTAATGTCATTATTCTTATACAGTATTTTTTCATGGAACATAAACTCAACTCGAGAAAAGGCCAACAAAAATCATATATTATAACGAATGAAAACAAAGACATGCTACATATTTGATAACAATACTTAATGTAACACATTTGTTTATCCTCACCATCCATTTTGTTCTGTCGCTGTTGTCAAGTAACGTCAGAGTCTCCCCCTCCTGGAACTCTATCTGAAACAGAGGACGACATTTTTGTTTTGAGGCATGATTGGGTATTCAGCACCTAATCGTGCTGGTGCAGTAGTGTAAGGCAGAACTTAGGTTACTGATTCGGAATTCAGTTATAAAAACGGTCTGTATTTTTGTAAGAGTATGTAAGAAAATTATTGTCATTCCCCTATAGCCGCGATTGTATTCGAAACAGTCTTTAATTATACATGTACACATTTTTTTGTCTCTGTGGAAAAATATCTTTCAGATAACTTTGGACGTTATCGATGGTTTACCAGAAAATATATATATGTCATATTTTGTGTGTCTTACTTGAAATCTAAACCAATACAATATTTCATTAATTGAATTAAAAAATGGGCTAATTGCAGGAAACTAAGCTAAATTGTCACTCAATGACTCGGATTCATTTCTATAAGACAACTATCTGACGATATTTCGAATCTCGACTAATCGCTCACACTTTTAGAAAATTGATGTTAATATAGTAACAAATTCAAAATATGGAGTCAAGTTATGACAGGAACGAATCTACTAAATGCATCACCTAACTATTCGTAAAGTTAAAATATCATAACACTCTTTAATACCTCTGATGTTTTGTATCCAGCAATGGCGATGACAGGACGTGGATCCTCCAACTTCCGGATCCGGTTGGGAACCGGGACGATACGTTTGGCGCGATCAAATAGGCTCTCCACCTTACCCTGCCACTGGAGATAGGCCAGCAGTACATCCTGAAACACGATGGTCAGTGGTCATTTTTGTCTAATATTAATTATTGATACGGTTGTTTTACGATCTTAAAGTTGCATTACAACATATGTTAGATCTAGTTTTCTGGCCAATATATAATATAAACCTATTGCATGCAGGTATTCCGTGTTATCGTTGTCAATGATACTTGTGCTGTATCAACACTGGAAACTACAACAGAAGCAACTCAGTCAGATTGCATCAACTATCAGTCAGATTACATCAACTATCAGTCAGATTACATCAACTATCAGTCAAATGCATTTGCTGAAAGAGGACATCATCTGGTGATAAAAAATAAAGAAATAATCTGCAAAAATTTCATGTTTTGGTTTATTTTCAAGTTGAGCTCTTGAAATGCTTATCAAATTATCAAATGTAATGTATTTTAGCATCAACATACCAGACCATATGAAAATGTCGATTCAAAAACATAAACACGGGAACATTGAAGAGGCCAAAACAGAAGACGAAAGACGCTATTGCATCCTTTGAAATTTAAGTGAAATTCAATCCTGCGTAAATGTAAGCGATTCCTGAAGCTAGTGTTTTACCTGTCATGTTATGATCTATATTAAACGATCTTAGGCACAGAGCGTCTTTAATGACATCCAATAGCTGTTACCGCAGCATATATTGGAGTCAGTCTGGTAGAAAACAAGTTACATGTGCAGGATATGTATACAAGTCTCTGTAGCAGCGAATCAACTTCAAAACATTAAGTCAATAATATAATTCACTAAAACCTTATATTTCTTATTTTATAGATAGCATATGAAATAATAACTCAATTCGAACAATGTTGTGCTATTTTTTCATAACTAAAGGCAACACAACATCTTTTAGAACTATGTAGATAGTAAGTATACAACAGCATATTCATATCACAACCAATCGTCAATGGTCTTCTGTAAGGGGTGATACAGTGTACATCTCAAGCCGATATCACATCGCTTCTTAAGCTTAACAAAACATCAAGACATTTTCATCTTTGACCGTTCGATACGGGACACGCAGTAAATGTATTTCCGAGGTTGTGACATGATAGATAGCAGGTCGTGTACACTAAATAGTGATAATACAAACATCATCTTTCGAAAAAGACAAAAATGCAAACGATATATTTTCTATTTGAATTCATGATCAAGCTAATAGGCCTTGGTGCTGAACTTTGGGGTCGTCCTTATTTAACGTATTGTTGGACTAATTAGGGATTCCATCCGCTCTCTTACACAGAAACACTTCAATCTCAAGTGGACCAAGCTGTCGCAGGGTCGAACGGATCCCAGCCTACAGCCACTGGTCTCCTCAGACTAATTAATCAAAGTGCCGTGCGGCAGTACATATACACTAAACGGTAAATGGTGTCGGTTTTATTTTTTTGAACTCCTGACATATTGTTTCAAACTAAAAACGAATAAAACTCCAGCAAATAAAATTTACAGCGACATAACACACGAATTACAGCAACATGTACACAGGAGGGACAACGCCACTAACACAGGGGTGACAACGACACGAGTGACAACGCCACTAACACAGGGGTGACAACGACACGAGTGACAACAACGCTAACACAGGGGTGACAACGACACGAGGGACAACGCCACTAACACAGGGGGGACAACGACACGAGTGACAACGCCACTAACACAGGGGTGACAACGACACGAGGGACAACGCCACTAACACAGGGGGGACAACGACACGAGTGACAACGCCACTAACACAGGGGTGACAACGACACGAGGGACAACGACACTAACACAGGGGTGACAACGACACGAGGGACAACGACACTAACACAGGAGTGACAACGACACGAGTGACAACGACACGAGTGACAACGAAACTAACACAGGGGTGACAACGACACGAGTGATAACGCCACTAACACAGGGGTGACAACGACACGAGTGACAACGACACTAACACAGGGGTGACAACGACACGAGTGACAACGACACTAACACAGGGGTGACAACGACACGAGTGACAACGACACTAACACAGGGGTGACAACGACACGAGTGACAACGACACTAACACAGGGGTGAAAACGACACGAGACACGAGTGTCAACGACACTAACACAGGAGTGACAACGACACGAGTGACAACAACACAAACACAGGGGTGACAACGACACGAGTGATAACGACACTAACACAGGGGTGACAACGACAAGAGTGACAACGACACTAACACAGGAGAGACAACGACACGAGTGACAACGACACGAGGGACAACAACACTAACACAGGAGTGACAACGACACGAGAGACAACGCCACTAACACACGGGGGACAACGACACGAGTGACAACGACACTAAAACAGGGGTGACAACGACACGAGTGACAACGCCACCAACACAGGGGTGACAACGACACGAGTGACGACGACACTAACACAGGGGTGACAACGACAAGAGTGACAACGACACTAACACAGGAGCGACAACGACACGAGTGACAACAACACTAATACAGGGGTGACAACGACACGAGTGATAACGACCCTAACACAGGAGTGACAACGACACGAGTGACAGCGCCACTAACACAGGGGTGACAACGACACGAGCGATAACGACACTAACACAGGAGTGACAACGCCACGAGTGACAACAACACTAACACAGGGGGGACAACGACACGAGACACGAGTGACAACGACCCTAACACAGGAGTGACAACGACACGAGTGACAACAACACAAACACAGGGGTGACACCGACACGAGTGATAACGACACTAACACAGGGGTGACAACGACACGAGGGATAACGACACTAACACAGGAGTGACAACGACACGAGAGACAACGACACTAACACAGGGGTGACAACGACACGCGTGATAACGACACTAACACAGGAGTGACAACGCCACGAGTGACAACAACACTAACACAGGGGGGACAACGACACGAGACACGAGTGACAACGACACTAACACAGGGGAGAAAACGACACGAGACACGAGTGTCAACGACACTAACACAGGAGTGACAAAGACACGAGAGACAACAACACTAACACAGGGGGGACAACGACACGAGTGATAACGACACTAACACAGGAGTGACAACGACACGAGTGACAACGACACTAACACAGGAGCGATGTTAGTGTCGTTGTCACCCATGTGTAAATGTCGCTGTAACGCATGTGTTAGTGTCGTTGTCACTCCTTGGTTAAGGTCGTTGGCACTCCTGTGTTAGTGTTGTTGTCTGTCACTCCTGTGTTAGTGTCGCTATAACTCCTGTGTACATGTTGCTGTAATTCGTGTGTAATTGTCGCTGTAACTTTTCTTTTCAAAAATAATATAGCAAAGCTATAGTCATAGCTATAGTCAAAGCTATATTCATAGCTATAGTCAAAGCTATAGTCATGGCAGAGGTTTGCAAAGCACAGTGATCCTTAATTCACGATTTATTTCGTTATTTCTTTTAGTCGTTAATGTATGTAAAATTATAAACACATATATGTAGCATTAACGAGGTTTTTTTTTGATAGAGCAATTAATATAGAAGTATCACCAGATTCCATTGGTACTTGAATGTGTACTTAGACTCATGAGACTTATTACAATTGGATCATGACGCTTAGTTCGGCATATCTATTGTTTACATTCAAGTACCTGACACACGGACAGAGTGGGAATCACGTGCACGTACATGAAGCTACGTGTACATCTACACGTCTTGTGAGAAGTTCCACTTAGCACTAGCATTGTCGTCTGTAGATGTAAGAGTGTATTTGATGTAGCTTGAGGTTTTGTTAAGCAGTTCGATATCTATACAAACAAAAGATACTACCATGTGTAGTACCATCTAAAGTATACAAGTACAGCCCTCTGGTGCGGTTAATGCGCAGTTTGATAAAACTAAACTAGTAATTACAATTATGGCTCAAATGTTTGTTGACATCAACAGTTCATCCATCTGAGAGATGTTCCATGGTTATAACCCGAAAGCTTTGTCAGAAATTGACACAGGATCCCAGGAAATGACATACCACTGGGGCAACCATTGATTCGTTATGCCGAATACCCATCAGTTTGGGTAACATCGTAGCCAAGCGTGGGTAGCTGTGAGGGAGTCGAACAGCTCTGGTTTGAGGAAAACTATAGATGTTTAGCATAACACGTGATGTGATTTCAGAAAAGCATTATCTATGTAACTAAAGATAGGGAACAATCTTATCAAGTAACTAATCATAGGTAAAAAAAAATATCCAGGTAACTAACCATAAGTAAAAAAAAATATCCAGGTAATTATTCATTAGTTAAAATTTTATCCAGGTAACTGAAGATAAAGAAAAATCTTAATGATAATTGAACGCAAACTATGAATGTTTGATATCATTATAGGAGCCCGTGTCAGTTAATTATCATCAATAAATAATTAAACGTAACACATAAACGTACAGGTTATAGGATTTTGGTAATGCTATGACTGTCGGATTGTAAGACATGATGCAAATATTTCCCTGTTGAGTTGGTCCATTCATTTTTTTCAAACTGTCATTAATAGATGATCGAATCTTGATATTAATATGGAATCTCTGTTGATGTTTGTACGATTGATGCTCAATCCTTAAGTCATTGAAACAATCATTGCTTTCAAAAAGGTGTAGAAGGTACGAGTTGTGTCCCTTGCCCTAAGCACAATAGTGAAGTGACTCGTATTTTCTGAATAGCCAATCAATAGAAATGGAAAAGTCAAGCATTTTAAAACGGTATGGTTTCTTTTGATTTGGTTTAGTATTGTTTAACGTCCCATCAATAGCTATGGTCATTTAAGGACGGCCTCTCCTGTGTGCAAGATGCATGCGTGTAGTGTATGCGTGTGTGTTTTTCGTGTTTGTCTCCTTGTCATAGCGCGGAACTCATGCTGACTTTATAGTGCTACCTCACTGAAACATACTGCCATGTCGGTTCCGTTCATAAAGGTTGAGATAAAGCGAATGTAAACAATATTTCCAATGTTATTTTTAGTTTAATATGTTTAGCTGGAGGAAATTCTAAGAACTGAAATTCAATCTGATTTTTAGGAGGAACATCTGCAGGGCTGTGACGTCATACCACGGTCATTCTGTTCAGTATGTGTTAAAGGTACCTTAACTATTTTACTTGCGAATCAATCGTAACAAACACAGGTAATTGCACCTAACATTGGGTTATTTGGTAAATGTATTTCCTAACACATGGTTTAACCAGTCCCTACCTTCATTTCTGTTTGTATACAATTAACGTCTGCCTTGTCACCACTTAGTTTTGAGCGGTCAAAGGTCAGGTGTATCCTTGACATGGTTGTATTCATCCAGTATTCTACTTCCTCCACCTCGTGGAAAAACTAAAAGAAAATAACACATATATATATATTTAGATTATGTTGTTTTTGTCAAATAACTTATAAGATGCGAATTCATCATTTTCATACTAATTATATTTAGCGTAAAAAGAAACAGAAAAGGCACAATATTTTCACATTTTCAAAAGAAAAATACAACAACATAGACAAAGTTCCGTCAAATCGTTCTAAATGACAAAGGTTATGAAAAAAGGAACAAAATGGCATCGAAACTGCACAATTCCTATATTGGTATATGTAGGTAAACGAGAAAACATTTCTAAATAGTTCCCTTGATTACTTTTAAAGGTTTAATTTATAGAAGCAATCAAAATCCTGTTAGCTAACTCTCCAAAAAGTTTGCATTTAGATAAAAACCAGATGAATCACGAGCAATAGTGATATTTGTTTAGTTGTTATAAGGTAAAAAAGACAGATTCATTTATTCTATAAACTTATGTGACGTCACATGCATTAAGTTGGAAGTACTAACCTCTTGGTATGACGCGGCGTTATGGAGGTGAACCTGGGAACACTGGAGAACTGTGTTGATCCAGCGCCAGTTGTTACGGACGGCCACCACACAGCCCTGGACAGACAGACGGACATATATATTTAATCAACACAAGTGTATCTCAAATTGTGCGTATACTTTCCTAACTCAAGAAAGGACAATAAACAGAGAAATACATTTGATCCTTTATAACACAAAGTCTTTAAATTTAATATATCATAGTCAATACTAAGTTGTGTTATTTATCAACTAAACTCCGTAACATTTCGAATAATTTTGATTAAATTCTAAAAAATCGATTGACACAAATGGTTCGGCGATTTTGACTTTGACCCGGAAACAAATGAAAATACTGACCTGCGCAGTTCTGGCGAGATTTTCGTTGCTCTGGTTATTCCGATCCGTTTGTTTGTTGTTCTCCATCATATTGACTAAGTGGACCGACCTAGCGTCAAATTCGCATGAAAGACTCTAAATCAGAAAAACAGACGAAAGGTCCTTAATCTCTCATAGCCAGAATACATAAACAGACGAACGGTCCGTAATCTCTCATAGCCAGAATACATAAGCAGACGAAAGGTCCTTAATCTCGCGTAGCCAGAATACATAAACAGATGAAAGGTCCTTAATCTCTCATAGCCAGAATACATAAACAGACGGAAGGTCCTTAATCTCTCATAGCCAGAATACATAAACAGGCGAAAGGTCCTTAATCTCGCATAGCCAGAATACATAAACAGACGAAAGGCCCTTAATCTCGCGTAGCCAGAATACATAAACAGACGAAAGGTCCTTAATCTCTCATAGCCAGAATACATAAACAGGCGAAAGGTCCTTAATCTCGCATAGCCAGAATACATAAACAGACGAAAGGACCTTAATCTCTCATAGCCAGAATACATAAACAGGCGAAAGGTCCTTAATCTCGCATAGCCAGAATACATAAACAGACGAAAGGTCCTTAATCTCTCATAGCCAGAATACATAAATAGGGAGAAAGATAAATCATAACCACTGTAAAGGATTAAGATAAGAAAAACAGAAACAAATGAAAAATGGCGTTAAATTTAAAACAAAATCGCCTTTAATAGAACATGTAGTCTAATGTGAGAACATTTCTTGATGGAAAGTACATATAAGATGTTTTCGTTCACGTTTGAGGAAAACGAAACTAATAGAGACCAGGATAAAGAAATGTACGTTTGATCTATAAATATTTGTATCCATATTGATGTTGTAGGAGATTGTACCCTGACGTTCATTATCATACATATATATATGTAAAACAATAAAGCTATTTGGTCTGGTGCTTTATACCTGTATTGAATCTTCAAGGGAGGCTATTCCACTCAGCACCTCCAAACAGGAGGATTTCTTACCAGACACGGCCTGAAACAGCAAGGATGGTGAGATTATAAGTACGAGTAGGTAAACCATAGGTACAGTATCCGAGTTACACAGGTAAGACTTCATATATGAAGGATAGGTGCTTTATATCAAGACTGTCAAAACACTAGAAAGAATTTTCAGGTGGAAAAAAAAAATTGAGTGGTGTAAAAGCTTATGTTTCTACTACCTAAACATGATTATTGAACATTAAGATATAATTCCCTGTATATCGAAATAAGATAGAACTGTACCATAATAATTTTCAATTTGACATATGTGTACCACGCCAATGTTTTTATTTCAAAATTGTAATAGCTATATGTACAGGGACATAACTCGAACACTCGTACACCACCTCGTACACCACTGACTTTGATATGTACGTACTTACCTTGACAGACTCGTAAGCCGCAGAAATATCCATTGTTTCTTTTTGGCCTAATTGCTATAACAAAATCGAAATCGTTAAATATTACTAATATTGGTTAATTGCTTGTACTATAATATGCAGCCTTTGCATTAAGTATATAAACAATATATAATAAAACAATCGGTAAGGCATATGTACAGTTATAAACAGGAATATTAAACCAATTAATGTTGCTCGAGAAACGGAAACAAACTAATGTCAGATGGTTTGAATAAACCAGAATAAACCCCATGTACAATCAATCTATCACTAGAAAAACTTTTAAATAAAACCATCCCCTTTGTTTTCAATGCCAAAATGTGTTCAAAATTAGATATTGGAATTTCCCAATATCTGCAAGTTGTTATTAATTTTGAAATCTGGTTCCTGTTTCGCGGCATTACTGAATAGTGATATGGTCAAGAACGTGTGTTGTCCTAACCAATGAAGCTTTCTGAAATGTAACTGGTGTGGTATGACATATCAATTAAATCCTTACTTAACTCATTTATTCCTGTTAATTTGCACTCTAAGGACAATGTAAAACAAACGGGTTATCGTGAACTCACGTGTTTGGTGAAAATTTTGTTTAGATTAACTCCGTAACTTTGCACTTCCTTGTTCCGGTTTCGCTGAGCTGCAATTGCGGATGTTACGTCGGATTGACAGGTTCCGAACGGACTCGTCAGCAACTCATCCTACAGAAGAAAATAGATAAAATAGTTTGGACTCAAAAGCATGCAAAGGTTCGATCGTTCACTTCAGTCCTTCTTTTAAATCGAACTTGATGTCTTTTAGGAGCTGCCATAACTGATAAACCAACGTACAATATACCGGAGGTATTCAACAGAACCAAGATAGGTTAGAAAGTACATGTTGATAAACACAGTGACGACCAATAACTAACAATCAATGTATATCATCTAAGACAGATTACGTAGATTTAACAGATATGCAAATTGTCCACAAAGATATTATAAACGTGGGATTGAATAGGTGGCGGAATGTGTACCTACATTAGAATGAATCAAGGGTGTCGAACTCAAAACACGCAAGTAAAAGTGAAGCGGACAGCGACAAAACCAATACCGAGTTTTTACTATCTATCCTATGAAGAGCATCCTTGATATCTAGGGGTTACGCTCTCTTACGCTCTCTGCACCCTGGAATATGTCATAGCGAAATTGAAGGCACGAAGACAGTTGTTTGACTGGTCTCAGTTATAAACACCTGATAAATCGACAGGCTGATACCTGTCCTTTGTAGATTACAAAGGGGCGACACCCAACTTCAAAATCAGTCAACTTTTACCGTTACGCGACCGCGAGATTCTTTTAATGTACATCAAAGAATCGAACTAGTCAACTTGTCTCATCAACAGGGTGGCGCACACTGGGCCTTCAATTCTGCTATGATATATTCCAGGGGTGTAGAGAGCGAAAGTGAGTGTAACCCCTGGATATCGAGGATGATGAAGAGGTAGGCAGATTACCATGATGAAAGGGTACCACACACTGAAACTAAACCTAACATAACTCGTATATTTAGTTCATTTCTTTTTCAAGATGTCAAATTATCTAAAATATACCTAGACCATCACCAGAAAAAATGCTATGAATTAAATATATATTTACGGCTAGTTTTTAAATATGGACAGGATTCAGATTTGTGATTTATTAATTTCGTGGTATGCACATAGAGGCTACAGGCCAGAGACTATCGGCCATCTTAGTAAATAATATATGAATATGCCAAATAAGTTTTTTTCGGAAATTGCTGACAAACGTTGCAAAAAATCGTTAGAACCCCACTGTCCACTAGAAAAACAACAAAGGAACATCAAACTGGTAATTTCACAACACACCGAATAAATCATCTTCTTTCATATCTCTGTGACCAACTCCTCAGTCATCTATTTAATAGCAGTGGTAATGGTCACGTGGTTAACATGAGTATTAACCAACTGTCGGTTTAAACACGGGTGCCTTTGAGTTCGTTGTTCCCCTATAAACGAATACTCATCTATTATGACCTATAATATAGTGGATACGTAATTTTAGCAAATGTTTAGTTTCACGAATGCAATCGATGAAATTATAATAGTACCAAACTTTTTTAGTAAATTTGGAGTATAGAGCCGTAAGGATATTTTTAGGTAATTTTCGCGTATACATTAGTCAACTTATAACTTAAACAAGTTATATGCTACCTGATCCGTTCGGGATCAAAAGTATGTCGATCATTGCCGAGGTCACAAGGAATGTCGTAGGAAAGATTTACAATTCGTGACCGCGTTTTCATGATTATCTCACTCGCGTTAGATAAACTGTACAACCTGTCTCGCGAAATCGTAAACGTAGCGATCAGTATCTCTGTGAGATCTTCAAACTGGTGAATATAGCTGTAAGTATATCACATTCCAGCAGAAGTATGTCTCCTGGCCGATCAGCGCGTCATATCTAGCTGTAATCCATCACAAAGTCAATTCAAATATACCACAAAACTCATTTACATACGAAACCGTAAGATAGGTTATCATTAATAATTCATATTTCCACTAGCTCTTCTTTTGTTTTGTTCCGGTATGTTATACATGTATGTGTAGTAGTTAATTGGCCAAAATGTAGATATGTAATTTTTTCATTACATATAGAACTGATTTACGTCAATGAATACAATACTTTCACTCGTTTCGTTTGATCTTGTATAATGATTACTAGTGTTTGAGTTCCAGTGTATGAAGTGATTACAGAAAATATGGCTATGCAAAGGAATGCTTCTAAATAAAAGTCAAACGTCGACAAAATGTTATCTTGCGTCTACTTTACCACATGTGCCAGTCACACGATGCATAAGGGGAATGTGTGTCATTCTTGCGGATTTTGAGCATCCACGTTAGGAAAGTTCCGAGACTGAACGCATATATGACTTAGGCGTAGATCAATTCAATCTGTACTATCTAATTTTGTGGAGGAGGAGGAGTTGTAAACTCGGGGATAGTTATTAAATAGTTCTCTTGTAGACGCATTCGTTTAAAACGAAATGGGTCTCTTCACAATTACTCATACTAGGATAGATATGTTTTAACTGGATACTTTAGGAAACTGTCTGATTCCCTCCATAGCGGAATAAATGCGAACTCCATTTGACCTCTTGATGAACTGTTGTGAGCACATATGGAGCTTTTTTAGTACAAGACCTTATATATAGGAAAGATGTGTGAACGACTATTTCGTACAGCATTTACAAAAGGAATATCTTGTTTCTCACAAAACATATTGACTAAGAAAGTGAACAGCTAGTCTTTCACATTTCATATTGACAAAACAGAAAATTAAATCCATTCACTTTTCAATTAAGGACACGACAAAGCTCCTCGTCTCCATAAAACAATACCCATACCAACAACTCCAACATGAGATACCTGAGACAAACACACATTAGCTTGATATAATTGAAAACCTAGCAGAAATCAGACTTACCTGGGTCTTGAACAACCAATCCATACACTTCTGGACATCTTCTTCTGCCATTTTTTTCTGAAAAAATAAGAAGGAAAAATGAATACTTGCAAACAGGTTAGATAAACAGCACAGCTATTTTCTTGAGTCGTACTGAAAATGTGCACTGAAGGAGCCGGTGCTACAGAAAAAAGTGATTAGTAACAAACTAGCATACAAGTGATGTTGATAACACACAGTACCTTGTTACATTGTAGTCAGGCCTGACGCATTATTTTCTATGTAAAGACTTACTACAGAAATATTTTATATCGATACTTCCGGTGACGTCCTCACAGAACACTTTGTTTCAGCTTAACAGTCAGGATTATGGTTATTTATACGTTGTTATTTTACACACACGACAACTGTGTAAGAGTGGTATACTTTATTGATAGCCATAAATGCTGAGAAGTTGGCCTTTCAATCACGCCTAGGGCTATATAGTACGACACTTGTTGAGTATTTTGAGGACCCCACTGTTGAGGATAAGTACCATGAAAGTATGAACTCTTTCAGTTTGTTGTTTCTCTGAGCCGTATTGGGCTCCATTTTACTTCACATTAAAATTATTTCACTTCATAACAGAAATAATTGATGATATTTCATTTTAGCAAGATGTTAATCCGTCATAATTGGATTAATATCATGTTGATGTCTTTTACAAAAGAAACAATTGGTCTTTAGTTGATATGGCAACCAGGAAGGGTTTTATGACGCTCTGGCTGCTAATAAACATCACAATTTGAACGAGGTGAGAGTTTAATGTCTTTTCGACAGTCCTATACAAATATATTAATAAAATATTCAAAAGGCATTACGTGTTTCAAATTCATCTCTCTTTCGTATGGCAACACTTAAAAAAAAAAAAAATCTCAATGAATTACCATATATCTGCACATTAATGAAACGAACATCAAAATGGAGTTAGCTCAAAGGTCCGGTGTTTTATTCAATTATACTCATTATACACGCTGTCTCCTGAGTTACGGATAAAACATAATATGATGAATGAGATAAATGCACTTTATGTTTGTGGAGTTATTAACAGAGGCGCATAGCGTCAGATCAGGTGTGTCTTTTTGCACACCGCAGACAGACACCTGCTATGGATTTAAAAGGTATTTGAAATTAAAACTATTATCAATAATCTGAATCACAAAAGAATGAAACTGTTTACATGGGGCATCAGTCGTGAAGCTACAATAGGCATCGACATAAACTGTAAAACTATAGGAAGACATGAACATCAGTCGTGAAGCTAGAGTAGTTATCGACATAAACTGTAAAACTATAGGAAGACATGAACATCAGTCGTGCAGCTATAGTAGGTACCGACATAAACTGTAAAACTATAGGAAGACATGAACATCAGTCGTGAAGATAGAGGAGACACCGACATAAACTGTAAAACTATAGGAAGACATGAACATCAGTCGTGAAGCTACAGTAGTTATCGACATAAACTGTAAAACTATAGGAAGACATAAACATCAGTCGTGAGGCTACAGTAGTTACCGACATAAACTGTAAAACTATAGGAAGACATGAACATCAGTCGTGAAGCTAGAGGAGGCACCGACATAAACTGTAACACTATAGGAAGACATGAACATCAGTCGTGAAGCTACAGTAGGCACCGACATAAACTGTAAAACTATAGGAAGACAGCAACATCAGTCGTGAAGCTACAGTAGGCACCGACATAAACGGTGAAAATGTAAGAACTGAAAGACATCAACATAAGCCGTGAATTATTATCATTATTAGCAATGCTTAACGGCCCAGCAACACAGGATAGGTCATTAGGGCCAACAAATGGTCGACAAAAACAAATGCTGAATAAAAACATCAAACCAAATTTAAAGGTAAAAAACAAAGCTTACAAGATGCATCAATATTGGCTATTAAACTTACAGGAGACATCACCATATATGTTTTGAAATAACATACTTTGTAGAACCCTTTAGCCAGTACCAGTCAGCAGATCAATAGTATTATTCGACTCTACCACCAATCAGAGTTATCTGAACGAAGCCCTGTGATGGCCACTGCAACCGTCCAGTTAATGAAATAGCTCTGATCAGGTATTAGCGACATACTTTGACTATTCAGATATGTAGTGACGTTTTCGAGCAGAGAAGATGACAACTAGAATTGAGGTGTTTAAATCAATAAAGAAATACTTTTTTGCTTTAAAATGACTCAACACATTGCTATGGTAACCGTCATGACTTCGTGGTGAGTTTTTTAAAGGAATATATTGAGTTACATAATCACGCCACCACTCGGTCTATACTACCTAATGCGAAATAGAGCCAATCCTAGAGTATCCTCCAAGGGTACATATACATCCTATACATATAACCATTATGTGTGGGCGTGACGGTATTCAAATTACCTAAATAACTAGGAAAACATTTTTAAGAATATTATATAACCATACAAATATTACACGTGTATAGATTGCTTCTGTCTACATCATACCTCTCGGCTAGCCAGTCTTACGAATAGGTTACACTTCCCGCAATAACGCTTTATTTAGCATACTCTTAACCACATCTTAGATATTAGTTATGCAAAAACAACACTACATAAACTACTTCTCGCCACACCTGTGGCAAAAATATCTATATTACTATTCAACCAACACGCATAAACATAATACCGTGCACTTAGTTGTCAAGATACATACAGGTTTCAAAAATACTTATTACATATCCTTATTGAAAGCATTGTGCATCAAATTTCGGCTATGGTTATCTCTCTGCTGATGCATTTCCCTTTCGTAATTTGTGAATTCCTTGATGTGAATGATGATTTTCAAATTAAAGTGAGCATGTATCATTACAGTAATTCTGTGTGATATGACACAGTTAAAGTGTGGGATACAGCACGTTTCTGGTTCCCAGAGAGAGCGTATATCTCCCGAGGCGGAGTCGGAGTAAACGGGCAAGGTAAAGGGAACCAGTTACTCCCAAATCCTATTTCCTAATCGTTATCATTATAACGAATCTAGCTGTTATATCTACTCTTTAAACATCGTCTGTTCTGTTGTCTCAAGGTCGATAATAATATGGTAGGGCGAAGAGGTTACGGAAAGTACCGAGGGAGTAAGTCCAGGAACTGCTAGAGGGTGAGCTACGGGAGTGTTTTTTATTGTTCAGTTAATTCCAGACTGATAGCCTACTTATTCCAAAGACAACTAAGTCTTGACAAAAGCAAGGATGTAGTCATACATGACATCCGTCTAGAGTAAGGAAAGATATATTCAAAAGCTATCTATGCATGTCAGAATGCTATAGAAAGTATATAATTAATATAGTTAATAGAAAGTATACTAATATATATATGTCATGTCTTATGAATGAAATACCTTAAATTTACCAAATGGAACTAAAGATACATACTCTACAATGACGGAAAATAAATTTTAAAATGTGAATTGATGTTCACATACAAAAGCCCTTTTAAAACTGTATGCAAATTTCAAATAACACTTTTAACGATACAAGAACTATTTGTAGTTGAATTGAAAGGTACATATATTATCAGCAAGATAATAAGTACATTGTATTGAAAATAAGAAACGTTTCACAGCGCAGAGGTGAAGAAATTAATACACAAAATAAGTAAACATGTATTGTGACCCCCTCTATCAATGCACAGGGTACACTGAAGGAGAAAGACGTGTAAACATATTCACCGCAATTGTACAGGAGCACTTTGTAGTGATTGAGGAAAGATTAAGAAGATGGAAAAAACTATTTACCACTTTAAAGTCAATTTCGAGCATGTTTAGATACATATCAAACCAACATCAGTATGACTGGAAAACTTTTCACATACATGTATAAACATCCGATACTCTCACACTTCACATACATGTATAAACATCCGATACTCTCACACTTCACATACATGTATAAACATCCGATACTCTCACACTTCAGATACATGTATAAACAACCGATATTCTCACACTTCACATACATGTATAAACATCCGATACTCTCACACTTCACATACATGTATAAACATCCGATACTCTCACACTTTGACGACTTAGCCTAGTTTCTTCTATTCACTTACATTAACACAAAACTATATAAAAAATAGGGATATATCCTTAAATGTATTTATGAGACACGATAGTGTATCGGAAATGTACTAACAATTTATAGTTTGAATTAGGAGCGCTTTTTATATGTAGATGTTTATATTTGGACAAATATGCAAACAATGATGAAAGATAGTGACTTCTGAATAAATTTAGGGGAACGAATTTCAGATATGGACGCTGCTGTCATATCTTATGATTAGAGGTAGAACAAATGTTTATATGATGTCTTCCAAATTTGTTTTCATTTCACTCTACATAGACACGAAAACTATATCTGTGTTCAAATGAACGGTAATATCGTCTGATCTATTAAAGTACCTAGTGACATCCCTAAAATACATAGTGACATAAATTATCTCCAGGAACAGAATGAGACAAGGTGCTCATCTATTGGCTTCAACTCGGAATATTGTTTTCAAAACATTCAACACCCTAACCCAAAACATGTGTCAATCTCTATCTGATAATAATATACTTGTCTATATATAAACCCAAGTAATGTCACGTTTTCATACTGAGAACTAGAGTAGCAACCCCGCGAGAACTAGAGTAACAACCCCACGAGAACTAGAGTAACAACCCCACGAGAACTAGAGTAACAACCCCACGAGACATTCTAACGAGTATATTTCAAAAACATTCATGTTAATCTAACACATTAGAATTAACATATTTCCCTATGAGATTATGATGGTGACCATAATTCTTGTCGTCTGTTGTCTTAAACAACATGCATCTTTGGAAACCTAATGCTGTAAGTTTGTCCGTCAGCAGTCGACATCTATCACAGAAGACAAGCTCTAGAATACCGAACCAACTTCGACATGTAAACACCGCAGTTAGTGGAATCAGGGAGATTAACACTGCGACAATATAGTATCGATTTCAGAAACGATGTAACACAATGTGATTTTTT